ATATATATATATATATTACTGCTGCCTCACAACTCCAGGGAAATAAAGTTGCAGTTTTCAAGCTCTGGATCAAGCTCCATCAACCCATGCGTGTCAGGAAAATATTGTGACTGTGCATTATTTCTGTGGTGTTGTGGTGAGCAGAGTGGGCGGTCGGTCCTCCTCTCCCCTCCTCCTCCTCCTCTCTGGTGTAATGATGACAGCTCCGGGTGCCTGATAATGAGCCCTCTGTGGGCTCTGAGCGCAGAGCCGTGCTCAAAGTTCTGCAGTGCTCCTCTGCTCCCGTGCTCTCCTCTCTCTTGCCATCGCAAATAAATCTGCGTTTTGTGCTCTCTCATCACTTTTTTCCTTTTTTTTTTTTTTTTTTTTGCGAGCGGAGCTGTGGGGTGAGCTGCAGTCGTTGAGGGTGGTGGTGGTGGGAGGGCCCCGCTCAAGCTCTTGACAGAGTGAGTGCCAGCGCACTAAAGCTGTTTTATTATCGCAGCAGAGGGCATCGGCCTCGCTCTCCGGCCGCCAGCATGATGAAAGGCTGCCTGCAGTTCCTTATCGAGCCAGCCAAGAAGCTCAAGATCAGACTCAAGGTATCGGCACCGAACTGCCAGCACATTAACACATATATGACAGGTGACGTGAGCTTTACATGTTTCATTCACACAGACAAATTTTGCTGGAAAGATCACTTCAGTTACTTTAAGTAGTCCTCAAAAATTCTCAATAATTGATTTTTATTCAATACAGAAATAGTTGGAGTTGTGCTACTATTTTACAGCCATAGTTTGGCATAGTTTTTGACTCAAGTAAAAGTGAGGCGAGAGTTAAAAAGTATTTGGTAATAAGGCGACTAACCGATGAAAACGTCGATCATTTAATATTTTAAAATTAGGTCTTCAGACGGACCAGAATATAGAGATAGTTGGAAATGTTGGTGTTTTAAAGATCAGAATAAAAATAATTCATACAAGTGGAATAATTAATTGTAAATAACGCAGCTGAAAAACAATAAAATCAAGTAAAAAAGAAAATTTCTAAATTAGTTTTTTTTAATAAAAGAAACTTTAATAAGAACTGCAGGTGTGTGTCTGATGAGGTTTTTGGTTACATCGTTCAGCACCAACTGCCCACAAACCTCCGGTCCTAAATCTCGTGTTTCTTCTCAAGGAGTCTCGTAAGAGAGTGAAGCAGGAGAAGAAGGAGCCGCTGGTGGAGAGCCAGCTGTTCATCATGGAGCTGGGTCGGGAGCTGAACAGAATCTGTCAGGTCAGAGAAAACCATAAAACAAAAACCATCACACGTTTAAAATTCACAAAAGTAGCAATTATTCCCACCGCCACCAGCACATTGATTATTATCGTTACAATAACGTCATATTTAGCTTTTTTTTTTTAAAGACTTTTATGAGTAGAGATGAGAAAAGTATAGATTATACAAACTATATTTAGTTGTTTGCTTTTTGCTGAGTTTTTGATATTTAGTGAACAGTAATTTGCCAGGAAAAATAAGGTGGAGAGAGAAAGGGAAGACATGCAACAAATGGCATGGCACCACTAATGATGTCAAGTCTTTATTATGCTGAAATTTATGCCATTTTTCAGCTGTTTTTTTTATAGCTTCATAAATAATAAGTTGATATTAAAAGTTTAGTTAGTCAGGCTATCTGCTCAGGTAGCCAACCTACTGAAGGCTGTATATTATACACACATCTCATTGTTTCATCATCAAAAATTTTAATTTTGTCGCTGAAACTATATCCAAACAAGTTCTTTTTTTTTATATAAGTAAGTGAGAAGTACAGCAGCCATCTTTCAGCCAGCTGGTGGACAGTTCACAGCAACAGTTGTTAAAGGTGTAGCATTACATTACTTGGTAAAATTTGACAAAGCCAGAGAAAAACCAGAGAATTCTGGTTTGAAACCGTAACTTTTTTGGTAATCGCCAGCTGTGGCCTTAAAACATGGCGGCTCAGTGTGGTGTCGTGGTTTTCCCAGAGATCCAACATCCTGAGCCACATCTGGACCGGCGAGGACATCTGGCCTGCCAGCGTTTCCAGAGACTTCATTGTGGACTGGGCTGCCATTTTGGAAAAGAGAGTCCAGGTGCCAAAGAGGCGTCAAACTGGGAAAAAAAAGAAAAGTCTCCTGCTTTTTCTCAAAACGTTTCCCTCTCTCATTAGCACAAGATCATGCCGTCCGAGTTCCAGTATGAGAAGCCGGAGAAGAGGGACTGGAAGGGCCACCTGCTGTGCATGCTGGAGTCGGAGGGCGAGTACGACATGGGCCCCTACAGGAGGGTCATCTTGGACTGGACCCGGGAGATTAAAAGCAGGGCCCAGGTGAATGCACACAAAGCTAACCAGTATGTGATTAAAGTCTGACCCAGTTCCCTGCTCATGTCTGATGAGGATGATTAGCCTGGATAATCCCAGTCATGTCTAGTTTGGAGCTGTCAGCAGTCTCACTGTGGTGTTTGTTTGTTTGTTTGTTTGTTTGTTTGTTTGTGTCCAGCCTCCTGTCTGGCCAGGTGAGCCGGTCCTCATGATGCTGGACGATCTGGAGTTCCAGTGGAAGAGGGGCCGCCTCCCCAACCTGCTGCCAGCCGTGGAGCTCATCATGCTGGCCGTGCTGAACGCCGACAGCCCAGTAAAGGTCTGAATGGGTGTCGGTACCCTGCTAACATTTAGCGTTGCTAATAGAGACGAGCTCACAGCCAAGTAGAGTAAAAACACAGCAGATCTGTTTCCAGACCGGCAGCAATCGGCTCATAAGTGGATGAAACGCTGCATGTGAGCTGCTGTATGATGGCCAGTCATGCTAATCCTGCTACCTGGCTGTCCAGTTCACCTTGGCCTGGTTTAGCTTTGTGTTTCCGTGTGTTTCTGTGTAGGAGGACGTGACCAAGCAGTGGCTGGTGAAGAAGCAGAGGAGCCAGAGGATTGGTGAGTGGAACAGAGATGAACCCTCACGTGTCAAAATTGAAGTCTTTCTCATTTAAACGATTCTTTATTCTTTCAGATGCGGTGCGCTACATCCCACACGGAGGTAAGTTCACATGTTCAGGTGTTGTGGGAGCAAGTCCCAGTTTATCAAAACGTACAGAAGACTGTCTGCAGTCAATACTATCTTAAAAAGGTGATAGCATACCTCTGTATGGAGTATATAAAACAACGTAAGAGTACTTCTAACACTTCTTTCCAGTTGCATAATGATCCTGTACAATGTAATCACAACTTCAACATGCAGCAACAGAATATAAGAGGGAGAAGGAGAGGAACGTTAAAAAAAAAAAAAACAAAAGGAAAGAAATCCTCCATTTGTGTCTAGTTTGGTCCTCTGGTAGGTGTGGATGACTTACGTAAGGAATTACATTTTTCTGGCACACATTTCTTGACACTAAAAGTTTAAAAAGTGTTTCATGAAAAAAGACTCCACATCTTAACAAATGACTTTGATTCTGAATGGAGAAGTGAATCATAATTTCATAATTAGGAAATGTTTTTATATCTCTTATTTAAAAATATTTAAAAAATGCCAGGTGTTAAAGTTGTACAGAATAATTAACAATGTCAGTTGTCCAGAGAATAAATAGGAAAAGATAACTAAAGTACAGATTATCATTGGTTTTACTACTTCATATTTATGTGTGGTAATAAAAGTGTCAGGCAGCAGCAACACCAAAGCCTGGCTGAGAGGTTATACTTCATAACTATTGGGATTATATATCATTAAGTGACTCACAGCCCTCAATGAACATAAACAGCTTAGTGAGTAAATCCCCACTAAGGCTAATGACACCTTCTGCAGCTGTGAAGCCATGAGTATACAGCTCAGGTGAACACAAAAACAACATCCACCTGGGAGGCATTTAGACAAGTTAGTCCTCATTTATTTAGGTGAGATAAAGTTGATCCATCTGTTAGCTGTTGCTGTTTTATTAGGCTATGATATTATATATTTAAGCAAGGTGTGACTCGTTTGTTTAAAGTGCTGCTTGTGGCTGGACAAGGTGTTCCTGAGCTGGAACACCTTGTCCAGGTAAGTTATAATGGACCAAGTGGGAGTAGCAATGGTTTACATCCTGAATGTCTTCATTAAGGCACAATGTTTCATGTTATATTGTACAAGATATTGCTAGGTTATTAGGGCAATATATTGCTAATTTACCTAGGTGATGTATTCCTTAATTAGTGCGTAGTATTGTTTTTTTATTTGGGTAAGGTATTGCTGATCTTGGTGGTTTTATGTGTTTGGATCAGAACTGGGTAACCTGCAGGTCCTGACCTTTTATTTTTTTAATTTCTGGTCCAGTATTGAATGAAAATTATGAGTTAAATGTGTGGAAAAGTGCAACAAACAGAAATGGCACTGAAGCAAGGAAGTTCATAAACCAATTAAACTTTGTTGAGCTGAGCAGGTTAATCATGAATATCACATTGATAGAAATTGTTTTGGACTCTGATATTTACTGTTGGTTTGTGTTTTTTTATTTTTTTTTTATATGTGATTAAGAATACAAAATCAACATTAGCAAAACTTTAAAATACATTGTTCTTCTTTACAGTCTGGAATTGGATTTGCGATGCATCAGGTATGAAACATCTTCCTATTGTTCGTCACAGTGGCAGCTTAAATCTCTCATGTAATGGTTTCTGTTGGATTCGTGTTTCCAGAGGATGTGATCCTGGACTCAGAGTCTGCCAACCCGAACCTGGTCATCTCCACTGACGAGAAACAGCTGAGGTGCGGCCTGGAGCGTCGCGTCGTCCCGCCCTGCCCGGGACGCTTCGACGGCTGGTGGTGCGCCGTGGGCAAAGAGGCCTACTCCTACGGACGCCACTACTGGGAGGTGGAGGTGGGCGAGAGGGACTGGCGTCTGGGCGTGGCCAAAGCCTCCGCCGTGAGGCAGGGCTTCCGCTCCCTGAACACAGACACGGGATACCTGACCATCCGGCTGGAGAGGGGCACGGATCTGAAAGCCCTGACCGTGCCCGCCACCTTCTTACCCCAAAATGCGACGCCCAGAAAAGTCGGGGTGTATCTGGACTACGAGCTGGGCCAGCTGTCCTTCTACGACGTGGAGAAGCGATCGCACCTGTACACCTACAATGAGAACTTCACAGAGGAACTGTACCCCCTGTTTGGGACGGTGGAGGTGGTCAAAGACCTGGTGGTCCGGCCCGCAGGCGTGCGGCAGCCGTGCCTCTGCCCCGGGCCGTGCTTGTGGACCTGAGTCGCTCGGCGCTCGTCGGTCTCTTCAACCTGATTCTCTGCAGCCCACCGAGTCTGTGCCGGAGGCGTGACTCTTGCTGTGAGATGCCTTGTGAGATCAGGATCCAGAACTGCCATCCATCCACATTACAACTTTGTGTTTCTCTGCCTTCATGGACACATAGTGAATTTGACTCTTTGTATTTTACTGATAAATGTTTTAAGCATCAGGTAAAAACATCCATTTTTTGGGGTAATTTTTCACTCTGAGCTTTTTGAGAAACATCTAGAACATAAAAAAAACATTAGATTTTCATACTACACATTTTTATCGTACATTTTTCATGACTTGTTGAAGTTTAAAGTGGGAGCATAAAGGCTCTTGGTGCAGTCAGGCTGTCCCTGTGTGTGTTAGCAAGCGCTCCTCTGCAGATAATCAGACTGGACTGACGCATGTGAGCTCTTAATCTCTGCGTGATTCTTCTTCTAAAGCTTCCTGCAAACATTTCCAGGCATGAGCTTGTTTACGCATTCGTGCTGTTTTTGTGCTAAATATAACGATGGTAAACATGAATAAATTAGAAATGTCCCATTTTCTCTGTGATCTCACACATAAATAATGCAAAGTGAGTCATTAGAAGAAGTCATCGTTTTTAATATAAATCTTTATTAAGTGCAATATAACTGATGTACAAAAAATGCTTAAAAATGGACCTGCTTAAATGGGAATGATACATGCCAAGTAAAAATTGTTTGAACTGTTCAACTTATATCTGTATATTTATGAAAAAAAATCTGAAAATGTTTCCAAAAAAAATTTCTCATGAACCCAAAGTACAGTAGAACCTGCAGCAAGCAAATACAATCTTTGTCTTTAAACATACTTTCTCTGGTATCATGTCTTCCATTAATCTACTGAACCAAAGCAATGCTGAATTAGCCACATAAAGAAAATGCATAAAACTGCAGCTGTAATGAAGTGCAGACATTTTAAATGCAGAAACATGTTTAATTTCTGATTCCTTGTTAAACTCATGCATGCCCTGGGCTTGCGACCGGCTAGTGCGGATGTAAACAACCAGAACTGTAAAAACTGAAAATGTATGAGTACATCTTGAATGAAAAAAACAAACAAAAAAACACACTTTAATATAATAATTTATAAAGAAAAGCCCTTTAAAATTCCACAGTGACAGTAAAGATAAACCTTTCAAACATTTAAATTTTAAGATGAAAGTTGGATGACAGGATATGGATGTTATTTTGGATTATTGAGCCATTGTTTGGGATATAACTTCTTTATAAGGCTGGTGTGTTAGCGGATGTCAGCCAACAGAGGGACTACTCTCACATGAAGTTATAAACTCTAGGGAAAGAAAACAGGAACTACAAAAAAGTGGGAAACTATGGGGAAAAAGAAGGTGACCACAGTTTGTAACAGTAAAAAGTAGCCTTTACTTTCAATTTGATTTATTTGGTTGCAGTCTTACCCTATACACACATACATGTACAAACTCTGAAACACTTTTTTGCGCTTTGGCTTTGTGATTAATTCTCAGGCTGGATGCTATCATGAGCATCGCTCACACAAGTTCCTAAGACTCATAAAACATTCTCTTTGTGACGGTGGATGCTCCTGTGACGTTCCTCTGAACCACTTCCCGAGTGACCTGACGGCTCACCATGCTGCCCGTCTCCGTGAACTGAGTCATCATCATCCCATCTGTTAACGAAGAGCAGCTCCAGTTCAAAACGTGAACACACTGGATTATAAAACAGACAGGATTGACTTTTTTTCTCTCTTACCTGAGAAGTAGGGATCGTTGATCATGGTGTGGGAGACATTTGTTCTTGTGGTCATTTCTGGAGACATTTGGAAAACGTCCCTCCTTGTCACTGATTGGCTGTTGTACTGAGACAAGGCACCTACAGGAAGCAGTGAGGGCCAAGTTAAATGAAACTTTGGATTTTAGATGGCAAAGGCTTCATTTGATACCAAACTGTTAAAATGTTTTTTTTTTATTATTAATTCTTAAAACATATTGCTGCAAAACCTGAACAGAGAGTAAAACAGCCACTGAGTCAAAAGAGAAAATCAAGTGCAGAAATACAAACTTCAACTTTACCATATTTGCACATCTAGAAACTGTTTTTATTTTTATTTTTTACCCATTCCTCTTTACAAAATGCTTCCTACTCAGTTTGAATGGAGAACAACTGTGGACAACAATTTTTAGGTTTTAGGTCTGTTCAATTCAGCCTGAACTTTGACTAGGCCATGAGCATGATTTGATCTAAACCATTCAATTGCAGCTCAGGCTAAATGTTTAGGCCTTATGTCTTTGCAGTTTCCGACAGGCTTTATTCTAGAATTGTCCTGTTTAGCTTCTTGTTACTGGTGAAGAACCAACATTGTTACAGTCTGATGCTGCAGGGAGGGGATGGTGTGTTCAGCCAGAGTAATGATCAGTTTTAACTTCCTCCACACACCAAGAAATAAAGTTTGTGGCTATAATGACAAATATGGAAAAGCTTAAGAGCTATAAACATGTCCACCATTCCTTCACAAACTCCTACCTCCATCCTGAGACTCAATGGTGATGATACCCTCTCTCTCAGGACCAAAACCCTGCGTGGTTTGAGCCTGAACCTTGAACTTGTACGGGACGTTCTCGGTCAGGTTTGGGACAGTCAGACTGGTCTCAGCGTTGTTACCGCTTACATTGAAGGAGCGCATGTCACCTTGACAGAACAGAATCATGATTAAACACTGAGATACTGGAAAGGTGCACAGCAAAAATAGGAGTTTTTTATTTTTTGTTTATTTTGCCTCACCTCCATCATGTAGCTGTTCGCAGGTGACCCTGTAGCTCAAGATGTCCCCGTTGGGCTTCCGTGGTTTTTCCCAGGTGAGCTGCAGTGAGTCGGGGCTCAGGGCTGTGAACACCAGCGGGCCCGGAGCGCTGGGCGTACTCAGGGTGAACGGCGAGCCTGGACAGAGGTTACATCTCAGGTAAGGCAATAAAAACAAACTTTTCTCTGGGTTAGGAGTGCAAAGCAGCGGATCCGGTACCTGGCATGGGACTGAGGGGACTCTTGGGGTCCACAGCTGACTCGATGGTGATGACTCCCTCCCGTTCTGGACCCCAGCCCTCCTGACTCTGAGCCTTCACCTTAAACAGATAGGAGTGGTTGGGCAGCAGGTCGTGGATGACCACAGAGTTCTCGGCCGGGTTCGTCACATTGAGGCGCTTCGTCTCTCCTATGGGAGACAAAATGGCGAGCAGGCAGCATGGTGGTTACAGTGAGAATACCAGACTGATCCGAGAGTGGTTCAAAAAGACGATGACACTGAACGGACCTCCGTTGAGCAGCTGGTAGAGGACGCAGTACCCCAGAACGTCTTTCTCACAGTGTGGCTCCTGCCAGCTGACTTTGAGTGCGGTCGGTCCCAGAGCAGAAAACACCAGCCTGCTGGGCGTGTCTGGGACGCCAGGAGAGAGGCGGGCATCTGAACGGACACAGAAAGGTTCATGTGAGAAAACCTCAGAGCCAGGCTGTTTGTTTCTGTGTCTCAACCCAAAGAAAGAATAAAAATAATAAAAAAAAAAAACATAATGCCCTAATCTATGGAGATTCAAGAACATGAGAAGAGCAATGTCATTTTATTTATCTAGAAAGTTTTTTTTTTTTTTTACAATAACTGAAAAGATTATAAGAAATTACATTAACTGGTTGACAAAGCAGGTATAAAGATGTTTAGTAAACACAGACTGACTTCATGTGTGTCAGATAATTAGTGAAGCAGAAATGAAGATGAGCCAGAACAGAGGTGGTTTTCACATGAATACAGACAATTTGCAGGAAATTATCTGGATTCTGAAACGGCATAAAATACTGCTCCGTCCACACAAAGCATTTAAAACACTCCTCCTGTTCTCAGCAGCAGGGGGCGCCGACTCTCCACTGACTGAACATGATGCTTGTGCTTTTCTCCTTACTAATGCCACCCTGGGCAACCGCCCACATCAAAACCAGCCACTGACAAAGATGGTTGGCAAATGCGTCCGCTGCCTTCATGCATGAACGTGGAGGACTTACCATGGAGGACTCTGTCCAGGCTGTATAGGGCTTCATTGACCTCTGATGACTGAGTCCTGGCCCTGGAGCCCTGAGACAGGCTGTAGCTGTACTGGGTCTGAGAGCTGCTCTGCAAGCCAGCGTAGCCGAACCCACCTGATGGCGCTTTTAGCAGAGGGAGGAGGAAGAAGGTGCAGGGAGGACGAAGAACAGCAGAAAGGGAGGGAAGTAAACAGAAAGCAGAGCGATAGTCAGCATAGCGGCCCCAACCCTGCTGACAGACGTCTAAGCTGTCAGTTTCATGCGCTCACACAGTTTACCCGCCATGTCCGAACAATTATCACACGCCAAGATAAACGTCTGTCTTCTGCAGAGACAGGAGGAACTAAACGCTGTAATAATTAGTAAAATCAGCTCAGAGGCTTGATGGGAACTCACTCAGATCTGGGAACTTATCGTCTCCTATGACGATGGAGTCCCGGATATTTTCATCTGTGTATCCTCTGTTCTCTGAGCGCTTCCTCATCAGGACTTCGGTCGTGTGGATCCCCCCTCCGATCATGTCCCGTCTGCGGGGGCTTCCTGCGTTAGGACAGAGAGAGAGAACCGATTAGAGCTGGGCTGATCGGTCCAAAGTATCGATAATATCGATACTAATTGGACATCAGTATAGACTCGATACTGCCGTTGTAAGATTGAGACTTTAGTTTCAGATTCCCATTTGAAATTTATTTTAGTGTTGTAGTTTCTTCAGAAACTAGAAAATAAGTTTTTATTTGCTCTCAAATTATAATTTAAGACAAATGTACACCTAAGGCTGGACGATATGGCTGAAAAACACATCATGATGCAAGTGTCTCACATCAGCCAATATGTGAGACACTTGTATATATATTATTCGGGTTTTTTTGATTAAATATCTGAAATACTGTCAAACTGGTGACGTGACTTTCCTGTTATATCCACAGGTTTCACTACCCGTCGTTTATTCTTAAGCAGTTATGAAGAATGGCGGCAAAACCTGAAACCGATGCTGTTACTCTATATGTTGTTGCTAGGTAACCAAAGAGTTAGTGAGTTAATTGAAACCATTCGCCTAGCTTAGCTGCTTGTGAGAGGCTGGCCTTTCCTCCGCCTACATCACCCACAATGCTGTGCGGTTCTGCATTGGAGTTCATTGAATATTCTAACAGATGTATTATCTATTGATATTCATCATGTGTCTATCACGATGTATAATCTTATTGATTTGTGGTCTGGCCCAATGCACCCATGTGCTTTCTTTTTCTGTTGTTACCTTTTGTCATGTTGATATGCTTTTAAAGTATTCTGTAGACACCTAACAACTTTGTCCAAGCTCAGCACAGCAGCTGGCATCCATCTTCCTTACCTGGCCCAGTCATGTAGGTGGTGTGCATCTCTGTGGTGAAGGAGCCGCCCGCTCCGCCTTTGTAGTTGGAGCTCAGAGTGGACATGGGAGAGGATGAAGCTGAAAGGTTGCGGGTTGTTGAGCCTCCAGGGAAAAGAAAGTTCTGTTCCCACCTGCCGTTCGACATGTAATCTGCAAGACACAACAATCAGAGCCAAACTGGTACAAATACAGACTGTCATCTTTTAGCAGCTTATACATCTGTTGATGGGAAGCACCTAAAAAAAAATTATTTTTACACCCAGATGAAATTATACACAGATAGACTCTTTACTAATTAGGTGGTTTCTGATGTCAGTTGGTTTTAGTGGATTTCATTTGGGGGGGATCAGAGAACAGAGGTCTGAATATAAATGTTTTTGACATTGCCTAGTCACACCATTGTTTTTGTGATTATTTTGCTTAAAAATATTTGCAATATTTATGTATGACTGTAAATGTGAGTTTTAGTTACTCGCTGTATTAACTATAGCTTGACATCAAGTAAAAAGCTGAGTATGAAATACTGCCACCTGCAGGTGGGAGTTAGCAGTCAGATTGTTTTTGACCATTCTTGCAGAAAATTCGCAATGAATCTACAGTTATGCAGTAGTGTGAAAAAGTGCGGGGCTCTGCTGATTTTGTGGGAATTTCAAAACAGTGGAGGGATTGATTAATATAATTTGGAAGTGAACCAATAAAACTGCTTTAATTTGATTGATAAAGTAACATTTAAGCACACAACAGTTTTCTTGAAGTCGGGCCTTGAGTTTGACACGTACATTCGTGAAAAACTGGAGTGTGAACACACAAAAGAAGTTTATAAGGCAGTGTAAATGTTTCATGAGGTTTCATAGTGCTTCCCATCAAAATGTGCACACCTGAAGAAGAAGAAACCAAGTGCAGTAAAGTTCTCATCTTTGCAACAAGAAACGCAGTTTGCCCCCTACCCCCCATGTACTGCAACACAGCAAAACGCTTCCTCCAGATCACCACCCACTCCAGTGGGGCGCAGAGAGGACAGACAGGGGCAGGCACCTGGAAAAGCCCCTTGCCTTTGTATCATCAACTGGACGCAGTGGGGCAGTTGATGCCAACGCTCAACGCTGGTGGGAGAACAGGTGGGAAAAGGGGAAAAAAAAAAAAAAAAAAACGAGGACTGGCCGTGCAATAAGGCATGCTCGCTGTCTGCCTGTCTCTATCGGTCGATCTGGTGGGGCGGTCTTCACCTGGCAGGGGCGTGTGGGAGGAGCTGGGGTGGGGCTTCTCGTCTGAGCTCATCTCTGTGTCTGTGCTGAGGCGACTGGGGATGACCTCCACTCGCTGTTTCCATGACACCTGACGGAGTTCCAGGTTTGACCCCACCAGCTTGATATGCTGCCAGCCTTGATTTGGTGGTCACAGAAGCAGCAGCAGCAGCAGTGAGGGCAGGATAGATCGGCAGGGAAGAAGGGCTTGTTTAACTTCACAGTGAATAACAAACGACTTTTATCTCAGCTCAGAGAACAAAAGTCCAGATGAGGGCTGCAGCCAACGATTATGTTAGCAATCGGATAAGAAATTGGCACATTTCATTTCACCACCAATGCCTTTTTTTACACATAAACACATAAAAAAAAATCCAAATAAACAAATAATTTAATTAGTTTTTTAAATAGAGTCTGTATACTATCATTACCGATTACAAGATTACTAAACTAGTTGACCATTATTTCAGTAATTGATTCATAATGATGAATCGTTTCAGCCCTAGTTTCTAATTGTTTCAAAGGTGACGAGTAACTTCAGCAGGCCCTTCCAATAATCAGAAGCAACTGGATAGAGAGCTTGAGGGTAGTCGCTGTAAATCATGTGTGCGTATAGATGGGGATTAATCTGGGGCGTTGCCTACAGGCAAGATGTCTGCCAGATGGAGGTGATGAAAAATGCAGAAAGATTTCACCTCCGATACTCCCTGCTTTCTCAGCTTTTCTGAAAATGAAGAGGGGCACTTTATGCCAGGCCGTTCTAACATCCCACGCAGAATATCTGAGAATTAAAAACTGCTTAGGAAAACTGAAAGGGTCTTTATCAGGCGATTATTTCAAAAAGGAAATAAAAAAAAAGGAAAATTACTTGCAATACTCATTTTGTTGTTTCTGTCTTTAGCATTTCCTGTCTGTCTAAGGAGCAATGAAACCACTGCATGATTCAGGCCACAAAGCACAGCAAATACTATTATTTCCTTGGTGAAATATGCATCAGAGTGAGTACACTCAGCCTCAGTGTGTGCAGATTTATTAACTAGTTGAGCTTTTCCACATTTTGTAACATTATAACCACACAGGTTACTGTATTTCATCTGCAATCTGTGAGACAGATCGCCATGAATTTGTGCAGGATTCTGAAAGTGGAAAATAATACTTTTTTTTTTTTCACAATTCTGAAAAGTGTAGCATATGTTTGTCATTTAACTATTCGGCAAATTTGACCAATTCTAATATTTCTTTCTTTTCTGACTAACCAGTGCAACTTGGCTGAATTTTGACCAATCCACCAGTTTCCCTTCTAATCTAAGTTCCTGTTGGACTTGAATTAATTAATTAAAATGTCTCTTGAAAGTCAAACCTGCAGGATAAAAGCATGTGTGTGACCTAAACAGAAACATTTGCCTTTTTCAAATTTAGTCCTTTTTTAGGAAGGTTATGTGCAGAAATGTAAACTTTTCTATGGCAAATAAAAAAGCTCAGAACATTTTTGTCACAACCTCTGTACATCTGTAACAAAAACATTGCAACATCCCGGAATAACTGTCTAATATACCTTAATAAAAGCCATTGTGACAAATTGCTTGGTGTGAAATTTTTTACATGTAGGTCAAAAAATAAAAATTATTTGGTATACAACAGAAATACATCAACATTTGTGGTTATGACATCACAAAAAGGGGCATCAATATTTTTGAGTGGCTTTGGTTCTTGGTACCCACCATCACCCGAAACGCTTGGCGTCTTGGAGCTTGTTGGCGACTTCAGCACATCGTTGCTGTACATCAGGTAGCTGTCATACTCGTCTCCTGCCTCAGCGTCCACAATAGGAATGTCTGGAATGATGGGAACTACAGACGGAAACAAAGAGGAGTTAATGTCTTTCAGAGGGAGCGAGGCTGAAGAACCAGATGTGTTTGGCACAAACTCACTGGACATAGGTCTGCTGGGCTGTGACGCCAAGTTGATGGTAGCGTCTCTGCAGGGGCCCCAGCCTACACTGTTTTGGGCACGGACTTTGTACTGATAAGTCTGGGCGCTCTGGAGGTTTTCTATCAACAGCATTCGTTTCTTTGGGTTGTCGATCTTTACTTTTTTGGCTCCTCCGACTGGTTCTGTGTAAAGAGAAGTCGGTATTACACTGGAACTGGATAGTCTAGTTATAGCTTGAGTATTTTGAGGAGAATCTCTTACTCATTTCGTCATCGATGGGTGTGTAGATGACCTCGTAAGCTGTAATGTCACCGTTGGTCTCTGCAGGCTCCGCCCAGCTGAGCTGAGTGACGGTTGGACTGATGACGTTGAAGGCCAGACGACCTGGTTCACCGGGCGCTGCAGGGGAACAGATGGGTGATTTTCAACTCCAATTAAAGGACACACAAAGAACTTTCATCGTAGTGCAGTGAACGTCCTGCATGTACAGCTTAATCTGCACCAGACTTTCGAGAGATTACCGTCTTCCAGTGTTTGACAGCTAACGATGTTGGTGTCAGGGCCGTCTCCCATTGAGTTGTAGGCACAAACTCGTGTCTCGTAATCGCAGAAGGGTAACAGATTAGTCAGCTCGGCTTGAGGCGTCCTCACGTCAAGGACCTTGGCGTCTTTCTCAGGGTCGCCATAGATCCAGTACTTCACCTAAGATGCACATCAGGAGTCACACTTATGATACGATCGATTCAAACTGGAATGAGTCAACTGGTCAGCTCGGTGTACCTTGTATCCCACGGGGTTACCCGGTGGCGGATCCCAGTTCAGACGGATGTTTCTGGGACCCGTTGCTTTGGCCTTGAGGTTTCCCGGTGGGAGGAGGCGACCGCCAGGGGTGGTGCCTCTCGGGCTTACGTAGCCCTTCGACTGCATCTGAGCAATTTCTGGAGATCTTGGTTCTTGAGGAACAAAATAATATCCAGAGAAATAAAATAAACACGGATTACTGTGCAGTATCTAACAAAAGGGACATTAATTAAATTCAGTGAATTGTAAAAGTTTTCATACTCCTTGAAGTTTTCCAGATTAGTGGGATTTTATGTGACAGACTGACATTAATTTGAGAATAAATGTGAAATAGAATTAAATTATACATTGTTTTATATTTTTCATGAAAAAAAAATCAATGTGGCCTGCATTTGTTAAAAAAAACAAAACAAAACAAAAAACACTGGTCTTTTCCAGCAGCCATTATGCAGTGCATATAGCTGATGAATAATTGGGAGATTTTTTGAAATGGTTCATTTTCCAGACACCAAAAAACATTAACTTGTTGCCAAAAACTGCCTGGATGTTTTTAAGCTCTTGGGCAGTACAAGAGGCAGTACAGACCCAAATGGAAGTAGAAAAATGTCCAAAATGCGAATTTTGCATAAGAACTCCCCTTAAAAAAGAAAGTGAAAACTATATATTTTCTTTTTTGCTGTTTTATCAGGTAATGTGAGACAATAATCTTTTAAGGTGTATGAATACTTTTGAAAAGAACAGGAACTGATGCGATGTTGTTATGGAATAAGGATTATATGAAAGGTCTTCTCATATCACCTTCTGTGATATTCACAACGGTGTTCTTCCTTTCACCAACAACGGCATTGGTGCTGGGATCGTACAGCTCCAGCTGGAAGGTTTCTGGCTGGACTGAGCCAGGGAAAGGTTCGATCACTATATTCTTCTCCGTTTCTCCCGGAGCGAACTTCAGAGAACCAGAAAGATCAAAACGCTGAGACTTCTTGGTGCGCCACTTGACCGTGGCAGGGCTGTCTTCGTTGCGGGAGCGCACCACTGGGATGGGGTAGGTCTGATCTAAGGTGCTGAAGTTCTGGTTACCTTTCTTGAACATCATCACACTCGGTTCTTAAGCAGACAAAGAAAAAGATAGAAAACAACTGGAGTCAATAACAACGGCAGAGCTGTCAGACGTAATCCAAACACCTCTCTTTTCATTCACCTTGTGTGTCTGCGATGGTGACCGTGGTTCTTGGGTATCGTCCCAGCTTGGCACCCTGGCGTGGGTTACTGAGGTCCATAACAAACTGCTTGATGGGTTTGTCTTCCAAGAAGCCATCTTTCTCACTCAGCTCCAGCAAACGGACAGGAACGATCTTTTCAGTCTCACCCGGAGCGTAGGACAAGTCTCCTTGTACACTCATGTAGTCCTAAATCCCAAACAGGAAGAGCTCTTAGTGGTGGTTCGTTTGACCAGGCTGTACTCTAAGTTCCCGTCTTGCATAGGGTTTCACACATTATGTCAACACAAAACAGGCAACACACGTCTTCTTACCTTCTTATTCTTGGCAGAGAGATCTTGAGTGTTGTAGGTGACCTGTGTGCGTCCATCCTCGATGATCTCTCGGCTGATGGGGATGTGTGCCACACCATCCTTTCTGCTGTACGTGTATTTCGGTTGGAGGAAGGAGAAGATGCTTGTAGCTACAGTGACAGAGGTGGAGATTCAATAAAAGCCATTCATACGCAACAATATTCAAATGTTTCATTCCAATACAACCAATTTTCAGATGGAAACCTATGACGTGATTTCTCACCGTGCTCTTTGATGATGGTTATGTTAACGAAACGCTTCGCAATCGTTGCAATGCCCAGCGGCACATCCCTGGCCTCCACTTTCAACTGCTTCTTGTCATCGTCGTCGTCCTTGACGAACAGCGGCACGTGAACGTCCACCATCTCCACATCCTCCTGGAACTCCACGGCTCCCGCAGCCTCTGCAGGGGAGTAACGGATTCACTAAAGATGAACTGCACCTTTTCTACTGGACTGAACCAGCAGATATTCAGTTGCACCGACGAGGAGCAGGGTGGCTTTCTGAGAGGCAGATGCTAGAAGGCTATATTTTATTTCTTAATATAGTGTAAATTGTATAGTAGGATCTAGTTTTGTTTTGTTTTCCTTCTCAGTTGGTGGTGGAAATGCTTCCTTTAGCCGTTTCCCAACCGCCAGTAAAACAAAGAAGAAGAAAGAGAAGAATGGTTTTCTGTATCATGGATGGATTTCATTTGGTGTCTTGGTTTTCTACAACCTCCCTTTCTGCATCTGTTCAATACTTTTTCTCTGTGTCATTTCACTTTAATACACGTAAATTATTTGTTTTGGTTTCTTTCAATACACAGATTACTTGGGTTGTTACCAACACCAAGTGAAAATTTCACTTGGTGTTGTAAACATATTTATAAATATGTTTACAATGAAATAATACTTATTTTTACTCGCTGTGTACGATAGATTAATACAAAACAACTACAAACAACAACAGCTTCAAAAAACAGCCATAAAACTCAAAGTACAGCTACATTAAACACTTGGCGCTTTTGAAAGATTAAATATTTCATCTGACATTGCACATTAAATAATAAAAAACTTTTAGCTTTTATTAGTTGTATTACTAACCAACAGAATTTTATCTGTTATCATAAAACCTGGCCATCTCTACTGAATTTTGTTTTTGACAAAAAGGGGAAGATATGAATACTTTTTCAAGGCTGCAGGCCGTTAGCTCCCTCATAGTGTCACACCCAGACACAGGTATGAATGCTGGCCACACACCTCTGTCTGTGGCCACAGTGTAGTAGCCTGGGACCACTTTAAGGTCCCCAAAGTTTCCGGACTGGACGTTCTTCTCGGTAAGTTTCACTATGTCTGGGTAGGCTCTGCGGGGAGCTGACAGCACAGTGTCCATGATGGTGTAGTTCCCCCTGAGGAGATTAGATAAGTCGGAGAAATTAGAATAAAAAACACCTAAAAATCATGACAAAATTTAAAGTGAGCTTAATTTTTTACCTTTTTCCAGCATTTTTCTGCAGTCTGTAAAAAAGCACATATATGTCAATTTATGACTAGAGATACTTTATTTTAATGTAGACAGGGACATTTTAATGTGACAATAACAATGTACATATAATGACTGACACGTGATCAGTATTAGTAGGAAATATGTCTAGTAGAATATTAAATAATTTTATGTAGGCAGGTGAAAAGCTTTAGCTGCTCAACCTCTCACGACTAGCTAAGTAAAGTTGGTGGCATCAACTAACTCACTTACTCTTTGGTTACCTAGCAACTCACTCACTCTTTGGTTACCTAGCAACAACCTGTTGAGTGACTTGCGCAGCAGCAGTATCAGGTTTTATCACCATGCCTCATAACTGCTTTAAAATAAAAAATGGCAGGGAGTAAAGATAGAAAATCAGAACAACATCCTGAGAGTAAATTGTAAGTGGGCAGTTTAGCAGTATTTCATATATTTAAAATAATAATTAAAAAATCAATAATATCAATATTGAAATAAATATTTTTTTCAAAGTTCTAGCATCTTCTTGACAGCAAAAATATGTTACCTGAATAAAGTTTGTTGCACTTTCTGTGCCTCAGGAATCTGCTTGTACACCTCGTTCAACTGCAACAAAGAAGAAAGAAGTAATCACTGACAGTCAGAGCAAGAGCCCACCAACATCCAAAACCCAACTCACGTTGTCAGCCACTTCCTGACGGAGTTGCTCAGCGTCTTTTGATTCGGGGCGAGACAGGTTCTCAGAGAACAACCTGTTTAGTCGGAGGGAGATCGGGAACTGGACTGCAAATAAACAAAGAATGAAAAAAACAAAAATAGTTGAAGGTTCTTATGTTATATACACTACATGATTTTCCATTTAAAATCCATCTTGGACTTACTCATTTCATCCGGATTTGGTTGCATCAGCTCCCGCGGGTGACTGGGCACACGGTGCACATTATCTTTGACCTTCCAGCGAACCACGTCGGTTCCTTTCGGTGGACCGGTCCTCACCATCGGCGTGTTCAAGTGATTTGAGGTCAGCTGAGACTGATGGAGCAAATACTCGTCTTCCTTAAAGCCAACCATGCGACCTAAATCAAGAAGAGAACAGGAAATATTGATTATATAAGATGGTAAAAACAATACCACTTCATGTAATGCTAAATATTTACCTCCCCTGCAGCACGGCAACAAGGCAAGACAGTTCTGCATCGGGAAAAATGACAAAACTCTTCAGTTTAACCATAATTCGGGAAGGTCTGGCTTTGATATGTGCAGGTGTGAGTGCTTTTACCTGCCAGCAGGATGCGCAGCAGGCACAGTACTTCCAGCAGCAGAGCAGCAGCAGTGCCAGCAGCAACAGGAGGAACAGGATGAGCGGCAGCAGCCACAGCAGACTGGCTGCTGGACAGTCTGAAAGGGTCATGCAGAAAAGACAACAAGTTTAATACATCTTTATATCAAATCACTTTCTGGAGCAAAGATATCTTTTCACAATAGAAGAAATTATGAGGTGGCTGTTGGTGACAGAGCGATAAAATTACGAAAGCTATGACAACTACGACCAGAAAGAATAATTGATAACTGTGGAGAATTAGCATGTAGCAAGAGTGCGCTCTACCTGACAGGTGTTCTTCATTTCTACATTAACACGGGTACAAACTATTTTACAAAATGTGACTTTATGAATCATTTGATCTACAACATTTATGCCAGTACAGAAAGCATCTGACATTGAAGAAACTCTTTAGCAAGAGTTTAACAGCAGGTGGATTTCCATTAACCATAAAATTGTGCAAAATTTTAAGAAAACTCTAATTTCCAATAAACAATTTCTGCAGTAGGATGAGGTGTTTTTTTTTGTTTCCAACAAAATTGGTGTATTCCTACGGAAGCTGAGAACAGACGCTTTCCACATATACTTTTTCCGGTTGGTTTTATCGAAATAACGAGATAACAACCCGACTTGTTATCTCGTTGTCTCAAGATAACAAGTTCATTTCATTTTCCCGGCATTAACTCATTATCTTGAGACAACATAGAAAACATCTGCTCTTGGCTTCCATATATTTCACGGAACTGCAATGGAAATACTTTTTTCGCATTGCACACATCGTGTGACCAGCAACCAGACATTACAAACTTATTCAGATGTGATTTTAATTACATTTTCTTATTTAAAGGAAACACCGCCATTGCAAAATTGTCCTCTTTCATAATTCGTTGAATACTGTCAAAGTTTTGTGCGCACTTGTCATGTGAGCGCAGCTCGTGAAAGATTCAGTTCCCTGGGTGTACTTTGCATGCGTGCAGCCTGCAGCTCACCTCTCTTTTTGAGCACCTCAGCCAGCAGCTTAGTGTTTGTTGGATCTTTACTGGTTTCAACAGTGTACTCGTATGTACAGTCGTTGTCCTCATCAACAAATCTGCAAGAGTCAAGGACTTCCTCCCCTGAAAACAAAATCAAAAACACAAAAACACATGACAATAAACAGTTAAGACTTTTTAGATTCACAACAATCACATTGCTTTTCTCAGGTTAGCTTACGTTCTTTCAGCTCATCCACCATGATAACTTCAACGAGACAGTCTTTGCACTTTGCTTCGTCCTTCTTTTCGCCTGTCTTCCATGCTTTACATTGGACGCACTTCCTTGTTTCCTCGCATACACCCCGTAAGAACTAGATGCACAGTTCAAACGATGATCAGAGAAGAAAGACTTGAAACCTCAACACATATGGAGTTGGACCTGCCATGATTTTAGTTTGAATGATTAACACACCTCGAAGTTTGGCTCACAGGTCGGAGACAACGCAATCCCGCTGCCGGTGTCTGGGCACTGGCAGCTGCCGCAAACGCATTTGCCTCGTCCACCGCAAATTTTCTGAAACGCATGAAGACAGGGTCAGGCATCATCCACGCATCGGACAGCCCGACAGGAGCGTAAACCACTGGCTCTGCTCACCCCTTTGTTGTCCAGGCAGGTCTCGTTGCTTTTGGAGCACTCGCAGGCATTTCCCTTCCAGCCCTCTGAACAAGCACAGCGACCCATCACGCAGGAACCGCGATCTGACAGGAGGGAAGCAAGAGAGCTTTTACAATTCTGTAGGTGTGTGTTCTTTGTAAAAGCTTAAACCCATACCACTTCCAAGTTTATTGGGCAAACAGATCTGAGTTACAGAAGACAACACAGCCAGGATCATTTCTACAAACCCAAATACCTTAAAACTTAAATAATGCAGGAGTTTTTTTTTTTTTAGGACAGTACTTCTGGAAGGTCAGAATAACATGTTGATTTGACGCGTCCCTTCAACAAAACGTACCGTTGCAAAGGATGCCTGCGACTCGTTGACACTGGGTCTTGTCATACTGGCAGTAGGGTCCTTCGTACTGGTCCGGATTGTAGCACACGCAGGTCCCACATGCCTGACAGTCTCCACGGCCCGAGCAGGACTCTGTCATGCCGGGCCCAATGCACTGGTCCTTGGTCGAGCCTGAGGTTTTTGAGCAGTTGCAGAAGGCGCCCGCCCTGGCACAAATATCAAAGACATTGCTGAGTGGCTGTGGCTCATCTGACAGAAGTCAGATGACAGGGGAAAAATGAATGTTGCAAAATATAATCCCCCAAAGTCTCACCAGCCATCGTCACAGAGACACTTTCCACACACCAGGTTTCCTTTGCCGTTGCATCTTTTAGCTTTTAGAGTGGGTGTCTGAAGAAGAGACATGAAAAGACAAAAACGTATGAGTCTGTTTTATAGAACAGGCAGGAAGATAACCTTGAAGGAGCGTTTTGGTGCTTCAGTGGGTTCAACAAACCTTCTCACAGTCACAGGTTTCACACAGAATGGAGGCTTTCACATTGACAGCAGAGTCGAAGGTCGTCGGTTTTACTTTGATTGTACCTTCCTTGTCTCCTGGATCCACTTTGCAGACAGGTTGTTCACCGTGCTTTTGTTGGGCTGTAAGTTTTACCTTGAACTTACCCTAGTGAGCACACACAAACACACAGAAAGAGAATCTTGTTAGCATCTCCCTTACAATAGATTTCTCTGAATCTTAGAATCCAACCACATCATTAGTAGAGCTATGCATTTTGGCCAAATTTGCTCCACCAAATTTAGCACAAGTCATGTAGGGGAGACAGCAAATCTGTTCAGGTGAAATCAAAACTGAACTGTTTGGTCTAAATGCATAAAGATGTGTGTGTGTGTGTGTGTGTGTGTGTGTGTGTGTGTGTGTGTTGAGAAACTAAGAGTGACCCTGAACTCAGACGTGGCTGACCATTTATTATCCTGCAGACGAACTGTAAATACTTAAAAAGTGTTTTTACTTCAGGGGGCCAAGACATGCATCGTTTTCCTCCCACTTAACAGTTTTGTCTCAGACATTTATTTGTTTCAGTGCAACACTTACAATTTCTCCAGGCTTGAAGTTAAAGGCTCCATAACGGACTTCTTTATTGCTCGAGTCCAGAAACTGAGCTCCAAAAGCCTTTGGTCTGTTCTCCGCACGGATGCTCATCTTAGACTGGATGCTCTAGAAAACAAAACAAAACGATAAGATCAGCTTTGAGATATTTGCTGCTGACATTTTTTCCTTAAATGTTTCAAAGTTGTAAACATTTACCACAAAGGCATCCCGCATGATCTCCAAGATGTTGGATGAATCCTCTTGAAGTACACCGATCTCAGCAATGGGGAAATATTCTTTCAGTTTCTGAAAACGGAATGAAAGAACATATTGGATCCTCTGAACTTAAAAGCAGAGGGGAAGAGTTGAACGGCTGTGGCGTACTTACAAGGTAGTACATGTAGGAGTGGTTGGTGACGGCGAATATGGGGATGATGTTGTGATTTCCCAGCACACGGACCAGCGTAGGTATCGAAGGGTAATCCTGCTTTGTAGCCTGAATGTAAACACCGTTTTCGTCCAGGTGACAAGCCTCGTCGTTGCGCGGCAGGATTCCCGCCAGCACGTTGGCGCCGTCAGCCTCGTAGTGAAAGGCTGACTCGGTGGAGAAAACCAAGAGGTGAGTGCTGCCTTCGCGCCAGCCGATCTCCTGGAAAAGGAATACGAAACAAAAGCAGTGAGAATACATGGCAAGGAAAACAGAAGATGAAGGAACTTCCACTGAATGACAGAAAGGGAAAACTTTTGCAATGGTGAATTTACCAGAGGAAGGACTAAGATACATCCATTTTGGATGCATCTTATGTCCATCCATTTTGGTGCTATGAGTGACTTTTTATTATAATTATTTTCTCAATTTTCTGGCTGTTTTATTTGCTTACATCAACATTTACTATGAAAGCCAACATCAGAACTCATTTCCTGATGTTCTCAGAGTTCAGTGGTGAATCTAAAGTAAATATATTTATTTTTCAAATGACTTTTTCATTCATCCATTTTCTTTACACTCTTGGTCGTAAGGGGTTGTTGGTGCCTATCTCCAGCAAAAGTATTGGGCGAGAGGCGGGATAACCCTGGACAGGTCGCCAGTCTGTCTCAGGGCAACACAGAGACAGACAGAACAAACAAACATGAGCACACACACACTCACACCTAAGGACAATTTAGGGACCAATTAAACTGACAGTCATATTTTTGGACTGCGGGAGGAAGCCGGAGTACCCAGAGAAAACCGGGTACTTCGGGAGAACATGCAAACTACGTGCAGAAAGACCCCGGGCCGGGAATCGAACCCAGGACCTTCTTGCTGTAAGGCAACAGTCCTACCAACTGCACCACTGTGCAGTCCTTAAATTACTTTTTTATGACTCGTAATTTAAAACTTAGGACTTGGAACCAATCACCTGGTCTAACTCACCTTACACACTGCTGCCTGCAGAATGGCATCAAATCCTCCTTCGGGGGCGTCCAGGTTGCCAGATATCCTCTCCTTTTGGAGCTTTGCTGTGAAGCTGTTTACATCCTTGATCAGTGGGATGACGTTTTTGAAGGAGAATGGAGAGTCGCTGTCGGGCCACGGCTGTTTGAGCCTGAGAACCAGAGGAGGAAGCAAAGTTAGAATGAAGCGCTGCATCCATCAGCATTATTTTTTTTTTTTTTTACTTACTTGTCAGGTCTCATGTCAGTCTGGGGCTCAATTACTTTGTCCACAAATTTTCCAAACCCAATGGTGTAGTCACTTGAAATTTCTTGCACCACCGTGGCTACAGGTAAAACACACACCATCAGTTTTCTTTTCTATTTTTTGCAGATTACCTCACAGGAATTGCGACACGTCACCACAATCCAAATGTGCTCACCCAGCTTGTTGCCCATTTTCTTCAAGTTGTCCAAATCGTCCTTCATTGAGTTTGAGAAGTCCATGAGAATGTAAAGATCCAAAGGGCCTTTGGTTGGAGCAAACACATTCACGTCCAGCTCTCTGGTCTCTCCAGGCAGAAAGGTCATCCTCACTTCCTGTGGCGACACCTGAGACCGCTGAAGGTTCATATTAATGGCTTCGTTCTGCACAGCAGCACAATTGCAGAGAGAGAGAGAGAGAGAAAAAAGATTCAACAATTGGACACAAAACAATTATGGAAACACAATTTGAAAGAATGACGGAACAATTAGACGAGAATCATAACAGAGGAAAAACGTACTTGCACTATGGTCTGCTTGCTGGTAGCTTTGATGACGTATGCAGCGTTGCAGCCGTGAGCGAGGATTTTCTCATGCAGGTCACAGCGAGGAAAGCCAAAGTCCTGAAACATGAAGCCAAAGTTTGAAGTTTAAGTGCATTGTGTACTCCTTTTTAAAAATCATACACCAAGATTGGTCCAAGAGAGTTCAGATCTCAAAAAAGAAGGAAAACATTGAATTTTTTGTATTTAGAAGAGAGTAGAACGTATTTAAGAGTTCTACTCATCAGTAGATAAAACAACAAAATCCATTTTATGGTTTCGTCATCTGCTGAATAACATTGTTTTAAGCAAATATGTCTGCTTTCTAAAACACTAGAATTTAAAGAAAACAAAATGACTGCAACAAAGGTTAAGGACAAATAAAATGGAAATTAATGTCAGAAGCACTTTATTTTTTTATCCTAATTCTACTTTTTTTTTCTTCCATTTTTCATTTCTTAGTTTCATTTTCCCATACCTCTCTTAGCATGAAAAACGATCACCTCTAATTCTAATGTAACGTTTCTAATGCAGAAACGATGAATAGTGAGACATTTTGAAGTCTTTCCATCTCTTTGTAGTTTATAAATGCTGAAGAAGTCGTCTTTTCTCCCGATCTCTCATTAAGGGAGGAGGAGAAGATGTGAAATGAGCTTCCTGGTTCTCTGCTCTCACCTCTTCGCTGCAGTATGCACATCCCACCCCGGCCTGCAGACAGTCTGAGCAGGTACCGGACCGGGCCGTCAGGCAGGAGTTCACTGTTTGGGATAGAAAGAATTCATCTCATGAAGCATCGTTACAGTATATGTGGTGACACTGACGATACTGTAGTGAGCGCTAGCTTAGAACAAATGCTAAAAAAGAAAGGAAAGAAAAAGAAAAGAAAAAGACAAGTAGAAAGATTCTCAGAGATCAGTTCTTTTGGGATTTACTTTTACAGATTTCAGTAACATTTTGCATGACCTGTAGTTAATTTTCAAAGATATGTCTGCTAAATCTGCCAAACTTTTGAAGGATTTTGATTGAATAATATGTATTGCTGGTTGTTTTGCATTGCTACATGTTGAATTTTAATATTACTGCATGTTTTGGGGACCATAGGTGGGAAATTAGCATTTGTAGCTATAACTTGTTGCAGTACATCTCTCCCTCGGTGGTTAATGTATGTTGTATATTGTCCTATTTTAAATAAATTCATCCGTTTATTCATTAAAGCACAGCTAATAAACAACTATATAACTCAAGACCTTTTAAAACATCCATTACACATTAATTATATTCTTACAAGCACATCAAGTTGATTCTTAGCATTTTCTTGGATTGAGTCATTCATGTCATGCATACAACACAGACTGAAGTCATCGGGGTAAACTTATTCTACAGTGATAAGTTTGAGTTTTGAAATCTTAAAGTGAAAAAAATCTACTCCTTGATTTTGCCAAAAATACTGTTGAATTAATCAGTCGACGCATCCGACCAGATCACCTATTATTAGATCCAATATTTTTGAGTTTAGCTTATTTAAAAGTCAAAATCGTGTCATAAACAAGTTAGGTCAATAATTAATTCTGATTTTCACCTTCAGAGGAGCAGCAGGTCAGCAGGACGGCTAGCAGGCCGAGTCCTGCCAAGAAACGTAACGACCAGCTCCCCATCTCGCCCCTGCAAAAGAAAACAAACATAAAGTTCAGCCCAAGCTGCAGCCATTCACCTGTTTCAGAGACATCAGCTGTACAAAACTGTACCAACACGTTCACATTTTCCTGTCTGAACCACCACACTCTTCTCCATACCGTTATTTTTGATAACATTCTTAACATTTGAGTACTAAGCTTTCACTTGGGTGTGGCCACATGTCATGAAGCATCACAATGTTAAAGTCGTCTTCCAAGTTGCCAAACTGATAAAGGATTGTTTCACAGTTTATTTTCCTACTGTTGTGTGTGGACTAACTCAGATTAGTTAGTCCTTATCAGACTTTTACTGCATTATTTTATTCTAGACAAAAAAAAACAACAACAACAACAAATCTAATCATGACTTTTTCAATATCTTTATTCTTTGATTCTTTTGACTAAAACTGAGCTGGAGGTGAATTATGTGATATTAATCTTAAATGTATTTTTTTTTAATCTAGTACATGCATTTGGAATAGTAATTTACTAAATAATAGAACAGAATACCCCATTCCCACACTCAGTGTCCGTCCATTCAACACTCATCCAAGCCTGGAAAATTATGCAGACAAATTTAATCGACAATAAGATTTGCTCAAAGAATCAAGCTGTTCTGCGGTATAGTTAAAGATTATTAAAAAGACTATGATCACATTGGAAAAAAGACCAACGTAGAGATCTACAATCTGATGAGAGCAGTCTTATCTAACAGGTAAGATGCTTAAAAATTAAAGCACTGCAAAAACACTAAAACTTATTTTTGCTCTAGTTTCTTGTACAAACATTAGTATGATTGAAATAAGACAAAACTAACTTATGAGCAAGATAAAGGAGGTAAATATTGATGCAGAGGTCCTGGTTCCCCTGGCTGCTTATTTCACTTATAACATGTGAAAAATGTTTTGTTAAATGTGAAATAATCAGTCAGCTGAACCAATACGTTTTATTATTGATTTAAAACAAGCTCCTACATCTTGCAGAAAAGTTACGTGTAAGTTAGTGTCTTATTTCAAGCGTAGTAAGATATTTGAACTAGAAATTAGACCAAAAAAGCTTGTGGTTTTTGCAGTGTGATGGTTTTGGGTTTTGGTGTTTCAGTTTTCTGTTGTTGCATCTGGATTCAAAGTAGTCACACAGAAACTTAAAGTTCAAAATAAGACTGAAGGACAAAGTGATGCGTCTGTAATCAGAGTTAATTTCAGCTCCACTATAAAAGGAGCTCTAGAGTTTCAGGAAACAATCCACATCCAGTTGGCATGTTACATGAGTTGACAGTGTAGATTATGTATGCCTCTCATCCAGTTTTAACCTGCTGTCCTGTTTGGTATTGTCGTATAATTTCAGAGCCAGTTGGGACACGACGCGGTGCGGTCGGGACGGGAAACAACCGATGCAGGGTGGGATCTGGAAACGTTCCACGCAGTGCTGCAGTGTGCGCTATGAAACCGCATTATAATTTCCTGCAGGAATCTTGGATGCAGGACAATCTGACAAACAAACAAAGGCAAACGCAGGAGTTGTGGAGCGAACAAAGACTGCTGTGTGATGCGGAAAGGTCTGCAATTGTCTCGGTGGGCAGCGGGAAAACAAATGGATGATTTGTGTCAACTCGAGGGGAAAGAATTTCCCCATGAGGCGAGAGAATGACCTGTTGAGAGTTAAAAACGCAGCCTGGTGAGCACATGGGAGAAGCGGGTTTGCGCCTCTCTGTGAAGGAGAGCAGCCTCCAGGTGTGTGTGCGCGCGAGATGAGTGGGAGAGAAGGTGCCACATAAATCACCAAGCAGCAGAGACGGGCCAGGACAACAAACTGCCTCTTCTTCTGCAGTAAATACAAGCAAAGCAGCGCTTTATGTTCCACTCGGAGGACAATCACAGACGAGCGGGCACTTCTGACCCAAATTACAGCCTCCAGCGGCTCGTGCTGCTTCTCTTTGTTCTGAAAGCTCCTCTGGCACCAGAAGAGGAGACGTTTCACTGAACTTAGAGCCGGGGCCGCTTCTCTTCAGACAAAAACACGCCTGCCAGGTGGACATACCACCAGTGGGTGTGGGTCGGCCCTCGCCATGACATCAGCTTAAGGAGAAAGGGAAAGAGGAACGACGGGAGGGCATCAACCTTTACAACAGGTGGCAAGGTCAAACTATGGCAACAACAAATAAAAATCCCATTGGGTTTAGAGATTAATGTTATTTTCTCTACAAAATAAGCAAAAGAAAAACAACAACAAGGACAACCATTAGGATTAAATTACTTCTAATTGTTCTGCCTTACAGGTCCAGTCTAGGGTTTCAAGTAACTATTAATTTAGAAATCGATTATTTGATTAATCAGATAAAAAAGAATTAGCACAGTCTACAGAGTTAATCACTTAGGCCATTTCATGTAATATTGGAAATACATTAAATGATGCAAATAAGCAAATACTGTAATTCCTTTGTTTAAGAAAAAATTTTATTGCCTAAAAATGTAACAACAACATTCCTTAAGTGAATTTGAACCAGCTGAAGCTAAACCTCTGCGAGGAGTTTTGGCTAAAATATATTTAGAGACAAAAGTTTTTTTTATCATAAATTAAATTTTGTATAGCTTTTGCTTAATTCCTGGTTGTTTTGGCATTTTATGTTTTCAATAATTGATTTATCATGATTAATCCGATTAATCATTTCAGCCCTGGTCTGGTCGCTGCTTTAACTGATCCAAACAAATTAAAAGTGCAAAGAAAAGTCATTACAAAAAATAAACTAGCCAGCCCAAGGCATAAGCAAACTAAGGTGCTAATGGTCAGCAGGGATCCCCAAAAACAATTCACTTCTTACACAGAATGTAGACTCAAATATTTTAGATTTGGGGATTTTTAATTTAAATTCTACGACTCGAAATTAAAAAAAAAAAATCAACAGTTGTACTCATTTCAGTTATGCATTAAAAAGATGAGCATTGATAACTTAATGATGCCAGTTTAATCAATCCTGCTGTAGGCACATTTCATGCACATTGTGACTCCACATTTTGTTGCAATGCATAAGCGCATTATATTCAACTTGATTACGCTTCTTTTCAGAGTAAAACGAGTCTGCTGAAAAAAGATGCACATCGCAAATCAACGACAAATCAGATGAGCAAGTTTCAGAAGCAAAGCAAGACTTTATCAGTTTTTAAAAAGTGCTATGAAGTGATTAATGTGGCCGGCTTGATTGTTAAATTACAAGTAAACCAAAATCTAAAAGTAATTTTGGTCTAGTTTCTGGTGGAAATATTTTAGTTCACTTCAAATAAGACAAAACTAACTTACAAGTAACTTTTCGGCAAGAAATAGGAGCTTGCTTTAAGTTTTTTTCTATTTTACAAGTTGTCTTGTTCCACCAGCAGATTATTTCATGTAATACTTTTTCTTCAATATTAAGGAATTATTGACTTAAAACAAGCTCCTATATCTTGCTAAAAAGGTTACCTGTAAACTAGTTGTCTTATTTAAAATGTACCAAGATTTCTGCTATAGAAACTTACCAAAATTACTTGGTAAGATTTTTTGTTTTTGCAGAAGTTTGAGAAAGAGATGAGTTTATCTGAAAGTGGGGCCCCTCCAAAAACCCCTCCCTGGGGCCACATGCAATCTTGGTCTGTCTTTGTTTTTAGCTTTAATGTTATTGAACTGTTTAGTGCAACTCTAAGTTACATAAAGCAGTCACTTTATAGCCATCCACCTCGCCCTAAACGTTGCACCACACAGACAAGTCACTTTTGCGATACTCAGAAGTGAAAACAATGAAGTTATTAAGAAGATTATGGGTGAAAACAAAGAGATCGCTGATCAAACAAACCTCCCAGGAGCGTCGGCTCACAGTCCAAGTCCAAAAGTTTGACGGTGTGGAAGAAAGAAAAGTATTTCCTCTTCTGCCAAGTATCCACCTGGGTTAAATAAAATCTCTGCCCCAGAGTCCAAGTTCAAAGTCGCCTCCAAAAAGAAAAAGAAAAAGAAAAGTTGCAGTTCTTCTCTCTGTGTTTTCTCGCGTCTCTCCTTGTAAGGTGCAGCACAGTCAATTATTTACTTGTTTGCTCTTGCACTCAGTGGAGAGTGTGTGTCTGCAGGAGAGATACGAGCGACTCTGAGACTCTGGCTGAGTGTCAGTGGGAGTGCTGGGACTTGATCCTTTTTGCTCCAGCGTACACACCCACACACCAGTCCTTGTCCAGGTACGCCAATGTTAGGAAGAGAGTTAACTCACATTTGCTGGCCTGCCTGTGTCTGTTCCCCACCCTGCTGCAGCTTAAAGCTCCACACCTCCATGTGTCAAGCCCCCAGCCCCCCCTCCTTCACTGCATTCCTCCCCAACAGGAGTTCACCTGTGTGGGCTTGAGATTCTGGAAGCAGGCCCCTCCTTCAGGCCGCCTCCCAATCTCTAGGGAGTGGCGCACATTGGAGAACACTGCCTGCAGGCTATGGGAAACTGTTCTGTGACTTGTGTTTGCTCAACCATGTTCTCGTGCTAACAGGTACATTTTCTTCTTGGCAAATATTTAATACTAGCAGAAGGATTATGACACCGTTTTCTTTCTTTTTTTTTTTTGCTCTTACTTCATGATGCAACTTATTTCTTTTAGTAACAGAGTTGCGAGTGAGCAGGGAGATCTGCGTTCCTGTGCAGACAAGCCCACACGCTGCCGTGACCATGACACTGAATCCTTCTGTGAGCCGTGTTGAATTGTGCCCCAACAGCCTCACACAATGGAGCTCATCGACCTTTTCTATTCACACGGTTTAAGTGTTGGACAAGATTTTAACAACTCAAGGTTCACGCAGCTAAACGTGCTTACCGACCAAACCGACCTGTGTCAGGTCGGTTTGGTAACTCATAAAGATTTTTTTTTTATATTTAAGTTTTATGCTACTTTTGCAGGTAACTAAATTTATGCATTGCATAAAATATTTCTGCCAGAAAAGACGCGGGCACCTCGTCTTTTCTCCATTAACTTGGAGATGTTGCTCCGTTGACAAAACCTTTCAAGGAGAGATGATGTTGCGTTCAAGTTGTCAGATTTTTCCGACTTCCCAGTTGAAAAAAATCAACTGGAATGCCCTTCAAAGTCGGATTTCCCACTGGGAAACTGGGAGCAGCTCAGACTACCTGGTCTACCCCCAGTTACTGGTAGACCAGCTACTGGGTCTACCTGTAACTGGTGTTACCATATTGTAACTCAAAGTCCCAGCTAGTGGGACTTTGAGTTACAATATGGCCGCTCTTCGCATCAACAGTAGTAGCTGTGGTGGAAACATGTTTGTTTTATAAAACACACAAGTAAGAGTGTGTCATAAATCAATGCTAAATGTAGCGCCTGCACCTCTAAACTGAACAAATTAAAAGTGGTGTTTGCTTATAAAAAGTAAAAGTTAAAATGACGTTTATAAGATTTGTTCACAAATATTGCGAACAATATTTCTGGGCGTCGCCATGATGAAATTCAGACTTCTTAACTGGAACGCTGTCACCGCTGATCTGACGTCGCATCCAGCTCAGAGTTCCTACTTCCCAGCTGACTTCAACACAGCATCAAGCACCTTTTGGATATTTCCAGGTGTTTTATACAAGACTAGAGTGTTCAAAAAGTTGCACTTTTGTTATGCCCCCGACTGGCCAAGCATGTAGTCACAACCGCCCACGCTGGCTGAACTGTAAATCATCGAGCTGGTTTCACCTTTTCGCAATTTTTTCTGTGGAAGGTGACAAAATTGTTCCTATTTGAGGACTTTTTTCATAGGCTATATCTAAGATATTTGAAAGAACATGCAGTTTGGGAAGCCAAAGTTCCTCAGAAGAAATGCTACTTGACACTCTATTGCAAACCAGTCAGTTCAGGAACACCATTAATTATCCTTAGCTCTGATTGGCTGAACACCCAAGAGCAGACATAAGGAAGACTACAGATTACCAAGATGGTTTCCACTCTAATTAATGCATACTGAGGTCAATTCTGTGTTTGAAATAAAAGTAATAAAAGTTTAAGTGATTCTGAATGACACCAGAGGAACAGAGGAACTTGTGAATTGCAGGCGTAGCAGTAGCTGCATTCCTAAACAGTGAGAACGAGAATCCCGTTTGTATGGTGAACACACAAAAATCATCCAGCAAGTCTCTCACTAGCACAGCATTGACAAGTGGTTTAAATGACTCCGAGGTAAAAGGAGCTCTGTTCCTCTGTACTGTACATACCACACTGGACGGCCGCGCTCCTAGCAACCGGAGCTGGTTGGACATACAATGGAGGACTCTCACTACAGGGGAACAAAACTTCTTTAGTAGCGACGCCTCCCTTCTGTCTGACGGTCTCGGCTGGCACTTGAACAGCAGAGCAGTTCAAAAAAGCACTTTCACATCTTCTAAAAGACAATCTGTGGCTCCCCCAGCTTAGGATGGACTTTGTAAACACATATATTTTTATCCCACCAATAATACAACTCACATTTATGCTAAAAACAAAAACAAGAAACAGATATATCCCATTCAGTGTAAGATTTTCTGAATAAATCAAAGGTTTATTTATATGAAGCTGACGTATGCCTACAACTGTCAAATTATTGCAATTTACATGCATGAGAGAAACGTTTTTTGGAAAGAACACCAAAACCGGGTCAAGCCCAAGGGCCCACATCCTCTCAAATCCAGCCCTGCACCGGTTTGTAATTCAGCTATAAACATGTGGTTCCAAAAATTACACAAACAAATACACAACATATATTTGTTTGAGTATTAGGTGAACTTATAACACCACATAACTAATAATTACCACACCTGTCATTGCTAAGAATCTTTAGAAACTTCAAATTAGCCTGCACAAAGGCTGTACAAAAAAATTTAAAAGTAAAAAAAAAAAAAAAGAAAAAGACTGGATTAGTGTCCAAAGTATTTGAAAAAAGTTTAATTAGGTTAGAAACTGACTGAAAGTGTAAACATACTTCAAAAACAGCGTGGCCTGAGATCACTATTTGAATAAAACCGTCTGAATTCAAAGCAAACAAAAATACTTACAGTAAATCAGATGCTGTGTTGATGAGCCGGCCTCATCGGCTGAAGAAACTGAGTCACCCAGGGTGCTGGGAGAGCCCTACAGCCCACCCAGCCAGCCTCAAAATTAAAACACAGAAGAAGAGAAAAACAGTAGGACAGCATTAGCTTTGAGACATGAAGCCCCCTCCCGAGAATGACTCCACCTCCCGTCCCCTTCTGAACATTTGAGTCAAGTCTGTGTCCAACACTTCGCTATTTACATGACAAAAAGACGGCTTTGTGCTTCACCGGCTTTATTCAGTAGGAAGCTAATGAGGACTGTAAACAAATGATGACAACAAGCCAGAACAGACCTGTTATCTGACTGAATCCAACATATTGTTTTGGGGAAAGTAGCGAGAGGGATAAAGGAGCGCTCATTACGCTACGTCTCCTTCTGACGTAGTTTGTATTTTCTGTATATTTCTATAAAAGAAAAATAATTAAAACTAGTAGAAAACTCCCCTTACCTGTTCATTCAACATTATGCTGTCGGTACTTCACAATAGGAACTCGTTCCTGTAACTCAGAAAGGGAATGTCTTTGGTGGGTTTGACACATTTGACAGTGAAAGTTGTGAACGGCTCAGTCCGGACAGGTTCGGCTCGAGCCGTAATCTGGGTGTGGCTCGTGGGCTCACGCGGCCTCCGTTGATTGAAACACCTGCGGTGAGGATGATTAAAGCCTGTGAATCATCGCTACGACATTCATACCCGGCAGGAAAATGTCTCAGGCGGAGTTTAGAGTTGCTTCTCACACTTACGCTCTTCATACTGCGACTTTTAATCCAGTTTATGACGTTCAAACAAACGTTTTGCCCCAGGACTTTAACAGCATAAAGAGGGAACATTACACATGTGTTACATAAACATTCATATATTTTTATTACATACAGTGAGTGCTTTGCAAAAATCATTTACACCCTTTGAACTTTGCTCTAACTTTCTAGCACTTTGTTTAGCAATCTAGACTCATGCAGCCTCTTCCTCTGAGCATCTTTTCTGGATCACCTTCAGCATGATGCTGCCACCACGTTTCACAAGGTGGTGCGTTCAGGGCAACGCACAGTGCTAGTTTTCTCTATGTGGGCCAATCGGTTCCTCTTTTCCGACATGTTTGCTGTTGTTCCTTCTTCCATAGCTTCTTATGAAAAGAACTCTAGCTGTAACCACAAAAGCTGGACAACTCCAGTCTGTTTAATTAATCTTTAACGGATTTACAGAAAGATTCACTCTTCAATAACATTCTAATATATTGACAGTGGAATCAGTTTTTCTTTTAATATTTTACTTTGTCTTTAATTTTTAAAATGAAGTTTTATCCATAGTAACTTTTTAAACAGTATTATTTGTTATTGTTACTGAAGTCAACATAAACACATCAGAACATGATGTGAGCTACTTGTTTACATTTAATACACTTCGTTACTAGATAATCTTCCACGTTAAATCAATAAAGTTAAAAGTGCTCATTGTATAACTATTTAACAAGGCAGATATTTATCCAGTTGTGAGTGTGTGTGTGTGTGTGTGTGTGTGTCGCATCTATGTAAATACATAAGAGCTCCACCTGAGTGAAATGTACCCGTCTGATCTGAAATGGAGATTCAGAATGTTTTATAAGTTTTCTTTTTTTATCGTCTGTCAGTTCTGCATTCCAGACTCTGCAAAAACATGTTGCGGTACAAGCAGAAGGCCAACATTTGCTCATGCGCTTGAACCAAATGGATGGCTTCTGTCACAGCTTGTAGCCAGAGGTGTGTGTGATTCAGCTGACTGTCATTAATGATTCAGCTCCAAGCCTTCAGCTGGGCTGTAAACCTCACAGCCTGGTGAAAAAACCTCTCCAGTGGTTTTAGTCACCTAAAGCTAAAACATTTCAACCATCTTCAAAAACACATTAAAGGTCTGCAAACTTTAGTGACGGGTAAGGAGATTTCCTGAGTTTCAGTAATCCGGTTCTTAAGAGGGAGAAAAACTAAAAAACAAACTTCATAACTCTTTAGGAAATGAACTGAGAGGTAAACAAAAAATTCAAATTGAAAAGGCAACATTCGCTTCTTTAATTCCTGGTACAATCAATACACATGTCGAAGTGTAAAAATTAACTTGTCTGAAAGGAGTTCACTATGTCACAAACAAAAATGGAAAAAAAAAAAAAAAAAGGTTTGGACACAACCGAGAGACACTGACAACATTTCACTACAAGTACAGATATAAAAACAAACAGCTTTCCGTTCGCCTTATCCAGTCCGCTTAGGAACGCGCTCCGTTGAAATCGTATTAAGTTTCCAGGTGTTGCCGACGTATTAAAATATCAGACACCGCAGAAGTGTAATTTTGGCTTTAGGATGCAGAGGTGCAGATAACAGCTCCAGCTCCAGAAGGCAGTCCAGTGCTTTGATTAGTCCAAGTTCAGCAGAGGGTTTGCTGGTTCTTAGCATCAACACTTCAATCCGACTGGATCCGTCGCTCCTATGACCCAACACGAGGCCCTTTCTGCTCGCTTTGTCTGCTCACTGCTTTGCTTTCTTTAAGATGGTGCCCACCGCAGAGATGACCGTGGTCTTTGTGCCGCTAGCCGTGGTGGTCACCGACACGACGGCGGGAAGGGTGGCTGTGGTGGTGATGAGGGTGGGCTGGGCCAGGGTGACGGGGATCGCCGAGTCCCACTTGCTTTTCCTCTTCTGGGCGTCTGCTGGCAGGAGCAAAACACAAAGCAGGAAGTTAATTCAGTGACATTTCACAACTATTACTGCATTAAGAGTTGATTGATCGTCACTTTGTTCATTAGAGAGGCTGGCAGACAGGCGCAGCTGTGAGGCGCCAGATGGGTTTCCATCACAAGCTTTCTCGATATTTCACTAATTTAAAGAACTCCCCACAATTTTGCAATTTTGGTGTTTCCATTAAATAAGAAACGCCACGTGAAAAACTTTATTCACGCAATAAGTCATTAAAAAACACGTGGAGCCATCACTCTCCTGCCACTTTCTGTTGTCTTCTTTGTCATTTCTGCCAGTAGTAACATCTGGTTGTTGATCATGCAACTTGTGATGTGAAAAAAAAAAAAAAAGTTTCCATTGCGGGTTTGTGAAATACGCTAATTTTGATACGGCGGAGAAAACAAACCCTCATTCTAGCGTAAAAACCTTTTATCGAAAAACTTGAGTTTAATCAAAATTGGTGAGTTTCCATTAAGCAAATTTATTTTGTGCAAATGCATGGTCAATGGAAACACGGGTTTTGTTGCACATCAGGTAGTGGCTCTCCAGATTAAAAAGAAAACAAGAACGAAGAGGACCACAGATGAAAGTAAAGTGTGTATGTTTGTATTCAACATTTCCACATTTTACCACAAAAGTCAAACTATTTTAGACCATCACAGACAAATTAGTGTACAATAATGAAGCAGATTGTATGGATAAAAAAAAAAAAAAAAAAAAAAAGAAGCCCTAAATTAAATCCAGAATTCACCTAATGTAGTAAAATACATCCATTTACAAATGAACACCAGGGAAAGCAAAGTGTGGTGGAAAACCTGAAAACACCATCCTCAACACGCGACATGGTGGTGGCAGCATTATGCTGGTTTTACTCAGCATGAGCAGCAGAGTAGCTGGTCAGAGTAGCTGTCTCTGTTTGCAACAAACAAACAAACAAACAAACAAACAAACAAACAGAGCTACAACTGAATGGCTCAGATTCAAGCATTTCCGTGCCTTAGAATGGCCCAGTCAAAGTCCAGACCTGATTCCCAATAGAGAATCAGAAGAAAGAGTTTCTGTTTACAGAGGCTTGTCAGACAATATGGCTGACACTGAGTCATCTGCAGACGGTTCTGTGTCAGGCGGGAAAAAGTTATTCTACAGTTTAAGTAAATGCATGCCACACTTTTCAGAGTTTTATTTATTAAAAACATACAAAACCACCCAAACACCTTGAAAAAATGGATCATTTCCATCCACTTCACACAGTTTTCCACTACTTTTTGTTGATGTACCACATAAAATCACAACCACTGAAAATCTGGGGGGAGAAAAAAATTCTTATCAAAAGTTTCTCTAAGAGAGGTTTCATTTTCAGGGGTGGAGTTTTGTGCAGCAAATGTTACCTGTCGCAGTGGTGGTGGTGCTGCTGCTGGTGGTGGAGGCCGCTGTGCTGGAAGGGTTGGTGCCTTTCTTGGTTCCCGTGACGAACTCGATCTGAAGAAAACAGATTGAAACATCGCTGAGGAGCTGCTCAGAGTCTGGCGATTCTTCAGCTCACCATAAGCTCACTTCAAATCCAATATTTCAGAAACTGCGTTTCCATTGATTGCATGTGTAAATAACGCAAACTGGTATAAACCCTACAATTTCGAAAAATGCAAAAAAAAAAAAAAAAGAAAAGTTTGCGCTAAGACGATGTGATTTTTTTTCCCATCGTATCGAAATTTGGATATTTTGCGAAACCGCAATAGAAATTTTTTTTCAGGCGGAAAAGATGAAGAAAACGACAGGAACGATGGGTAATAACATACCTTGTGAACAAACTTATTCACATGTGATTTTAATTGCGTTATTTAACGGAAAATCGACAACTGCAAAATTGTTAGCCAAACATCGACAGACGGAAATGCGCCGCAGCATCTTATTTGATGCTGCGGCAGATTTCGGCAGCATGTGGCAGATTTCTAACCATGGGGACTCCTATCCGCCTACGTTCTCGCTCTCATTATTCACAGACAGTTTGACGCCAACAATATCACTAAGAGAGAAAAAATCCAAAGAGCTCAGCTTCACCGGAGAAAAAAGAAAGCTGACGTAAAAGATCCGAGCGGGTACAGCCAAGCTGCACTGGGTTGGGCCGTTACGAGAGCCGAACTTGGCAAAGGCAACTTTTGCTTCAGATGAAGATCGTTAAGTAAGAATGAAGCGCAGCTGGTGGAGACTTGCCCCAGAACACACACACACACACACACACACACACACACACACACACACACACACACACACACACACAAAGACTGACAGCATATTTATCGTGCTTTTTCTTTGTTCGGCTCACCTTGGTCCGCTCCTTCTTGGCCTTCTCCAGCTTGTCCATCTCCACTTTCTGGGCTTTGGCTGGAAGTAGAATAATAATAATAATGATAACACTAACGACGGGTTCTCATAACCTGGAATGGTGACCTGAGTACAAAGGAAGACGTACCGAGAGCTTCGTAGTAGGAGTCTTCAGACCAGCCGTGAGGATCAAACATGTCTTTTGGGTAGTTCGTCCCCAGTTCATCGATTCCACAAAACTGAATAAGCTTCTCGTAAATACTGAAAGGAAACCAATGAAGTCGGGTCAGCGATAAGCTGCTCAAACACGACCGGATTGTCAGATTGTCTCAGAAAGTGTTAATGCACATGTGTGGTCTTAACTCAAAGAGTATCTGATAGAAAGTGTCAGCCTGTGTGGGAGTGTGTGCATCGCTGGCATGTGTTCCTCAGCTGAGCCGCATACCTCGGGTTTCTAAATTCCTTTTTCTTCTGGATGTGGCTGTTTGTGTCAAAGTCTCCGTGGATTTTTGTCTCATACAGTTTGTAGATCTTCTCCTGTCACAACACGAGCGAGTCAGTGAACGGGAAACAGACTGAACGTGTCAAATCAGTGATTATTTCTATAATATATTTCTGAATCAGAAGATATTTATGATATTTTTGAACAGAGCTCCAAAAGAAATACAAAACCACTACTCTTAGACGACGTTCAGTTTTACTTTGTAGTAAATAGAAAAAATAAATACAAATCAGGTAATTCTATTCCAAAAGCTGGACGTTTATGTTAAAATACATCTAAACAAAATGATACGTTGTAAATAATGATGCACTTTTCCCCCCAGATTGAATAGGAGAAAGAAAAAAAGTTGGAATCTAAAGTGAAAAACGTTTTCTCTCAATATTATGAATATTAATGTAAAACAATATTAATCTTCAGTCGCATCCCAACATCCTCACATTACAGCTGAGATACTTGCAGCATTGAGCCTCGTCTGCATCCATTTCCTTAAAAATCTACACCCGAATTCTTTTGCTAAATTAGGATCTGAGCGAATTGGACTTGAAACTTTTTTTAATCACAATATTTTATGGTATTTAAATTAAAACAATTAAATCTGGTTGGTCACAGTCAGAGCTTCAAAAACACAAAACTTGCTCTCAAAGTACAGGTTGGGCGGCACTAGATGAGCTAAATTATCTAAATTATGACCAGTAATGAGTTTCTGTTGTATTTTCAAATGTAAACGTTTCTTTTAGTGACGATCTTATGCAACCAAATATGTGAGGAACCATTGAAAAGCCAAAACAATCTCAGTTATCCTGCATATCTTTGGGGTTTGCAAACATTTTCAATTAGAGTTGATTAGTCATGTTAGCTATTAGAACGAGGAAGCATTGATCACACCCAGACCAATATCATCAAAATCCAGGAAAATATGCTGCCTTTCTCCAGGCACCTCCATCTTTAAATCTTTTTTTTCTCCCCCAGGTAGATCCAGAAACTCCCAACCAGACTGCCACTCTCTCCAGTTAATTTGTGTTTTCTGAACTTAAATTTCGCTGAAACCAAGTTTAGGAAATCCAATCAAACTATAGAACTTAAAAGGCACACGGCCTCCAGCTGCCGTGACCTGAAGGCAGGGACGTGCAGAGCGCTCAGGTGAATCATCAGATGTTCATCAGACAGATGGGGGAGTGTCGGGCCCCGGGGCGACCATGTTTGCTGGGTGCTTTCAGAGTCAGCTGTGTGTCCTGACCTGCCTTAGCTCCTCACAAGGAAGTGAACTCGAGCGGCGCTCCGAACGCCGTGGCGAAAAGTCAGAAAGAGAGCAGAGGTGACTGAGAGGAAGGCGCTGCTCTAATTAAAGGGGAGACTCGGAATTTATGTGGCCACCAAAATATATTTCTGTTTCCAGAGGGGACGATTAAACATCCCAACCTATTCATTGGGTGTGTGGAGAAGAGCACTTCTGAGCAAACACACACACACACCGGGGTTGTTTAAATACTCACAGCTTTTATCATCCCATTAGGTCTGGGCCGTAAACCGAAAATTAACCGGCAACAAAATTTATGATGGTAGCCGATGTCCTTTTGCCCGTGTCGGTATTTTCGGTGTTTTTGTCTCTGGCTGTGTACAGCTGCGCTCACGTCCCTTTAAAACGTTACGCGTCCCGTCTGTTTTAGCTCCGCACGGTTCAAACTGACTAACAGAATGAGATGCTATGGTACTTTAGGTAATAAAATGTTTTATTTAAAAATGAGTTAAAGTATATCTATTTGCATCTTTCAATGTATTTCTAATGTATAAAAAGTCATAAGTGGTTAAATATAAAATCTGTAGAATCTGCCAATTTTTTTTTTTAATCCATCGTCAGAATAACTGACTGAATAATTGATGGAGCAATCAGTCGAATAGGTGATTACGAAAATAATTTCTAGTTGAAGCAAAGGAAAAGAAGCAGCTCTTTCCCAGAAAAAAAAAAAAGAAAATGAAAAATTTGGCAACATTTTAGCTCAGCAAAGACAGAAGGAAGTTATTTTTATTCTTCTAAGCATGTTCAGTTGTGCTTATTTGTTCAATAACTTAACTAAAAGTACATATTTCCTTCATTTATTTGCAGATTCTATAGTCTTAAAATCACATCCACACTCCTGATTTTTGGGAGGTTTGATGCCATCGTCCATTTATCCTTATCGAAGTGAAGTGCTCTATAATTCATAATAATTCACTTTATGCCATTTCGCCCAGCCCTAACTCTCACTTTCAAATGTCAAGGTTTGATATTCGTCTACTGAAGGAAACAGTTTGTCAATGTTTCCATGGGAACTGGGGTAAAGTTGTTCTTATTTCACAGGAAGCCCTGAGTGTGTAAAAGTGTTTGACTCTTAAGTAGCCTAGAGAAAATACGGCCTCTTAAACAAAGCCCAGACAACCACACCCTTACTGCCCTACCCTGATAACGCTGGTATGTCAAACCTACTCAATCCTGACTACAGCAGCAGTAGTTATGTTTTTACTTTTTTATTTATTTTTATTTAATTGTGGGTATTGTTTATTTATGTATGGGGGTTTGACGTTAGGGCCGGGTACCTGTAGTTGAATGGAGCAGCGTCCCGCCGGTTCTGGGGGGATTCGGATCTCATCGGGTGACATGTTCCTCACCTTCTCTGAGAAGAGCGCTGACGAGACAAAAAAAACAAAAAAAACAAACATGACTCCTTCTATATTTCAACCTGCCCTCACATGAAGAGGCATTAACTGAGCAAACACTCTTAAGGAAAGGTGGTGAACATGGATTTTTTTTTTTTGTACTTGCTTTCTGAAACATGGGGTGTTTGTGTGTGTTATGCTAATCTAGCAGTGGGGGAATTCCTGTGCACCCTGGTTCTAAATGTAGGTTTTACAGTGCGCACATTTACAGCCAGGGAGTGGCTGCTGTCAGGGCTTGTACGGAGGAGGGAGGCTCCTTTCCCTCCTGTTGGACCTGTCGCTTGTTTTGCTCTGCTTCCGCTGACTCCAGGCCAGGCATTCTTTACTGTCACCGCTACATCTCCATCACACACACACACACACACACACACACACACACACACACACACACCTATAGCACATTTTTACAGTGCGTCTGACAGCGGCGAATGAAGGCGAGGAGCGTGTGTGTGTGTGTGTGTGTGTGTGTGTGTGTGTGAAACAGCAGAAGCGAGTTCTGACTTTTAATGAGGAACATAGACGGGTTAAAACTTGACTAGACATAAGATCATTTTCTGAAGCGATGACTTGGTCTTCAAAAAAAGAAAAAGAAAAAGAAGCCATTGGAGGAAAATTCCACTAAAACACAAGGCTTTCAATTAAGTCAAGAATTTGCAGTAGAAGCAGTAATTCCTCCTGCTCCCTTTCCTGTAATTTTTTGTTATGACCAGCCAGATTATAAAACCGTAGGGTCCGATACGAGAGCAGCATTTGGTGTCTGGACTGGGCACGAGCCAGAACCAAGTTCAAGTTTTTAAATCGTTAAAACATTACAGCGTAACCTTCCTAAATTATAAAGTTGTCTTGAAAAGAAAGTGACCCATCGCTATTAAACTTCACATACAAGTTTTTCTGGCCTGGGAAAAGTTTTGCCGCACTATTTGCTAAACAATAGGAAACCCCACCCAGAAAAAAACTGGGCCTGGAAGACATTTTTTAAAATTTAAAATATATAATTTGAATAAATAAATAAATAAATAAATAAATAAAAAAATACTACTATAGTTCTAAAAATGTCAGCTGTAACTAGGGCTGTTCCGATTCCTCGAGTGATTTGACAATACATTTATTTGTTAAATTATGTTTTATTATTTAGCGCACCGAACGAGAGAGAGTGAGAGAGAGAGGGGAACAGAGAGGGCGAGAGAGACAAACTACGGAGGAATCGTAAAAATAATCGATAGTTATTCGATTACTAAAATATTCTTTTAGTAACATTTCATCAGTCAAGTTGTTAGTTAATTAATTTGTCAGGCTACCTGCTCAGATAGCTAGGCTGCAGCCTGCTGCTTTACAGACATGCTAACCTTAGCTAGCCATCTGCTAGCTAAGGTTAGCTAAATAACCTGTCAACCTTCACAGCCTTTCCTATTAAAATGCATTTTTTGATCAAAAATGTTAAAATATACCATTTTTATTTACTTTTTTGTTTGTTTTAAATCAGTTATGTCAAGTTTTTGGATATGATTGAGAGGACCAGTACTAAATGCAGCCTGTGATTATTCTGTCTGAGTTGTTTCTGTAAAGGTTTCTGTTCTGTTTCTGCTCTAGCTTGTTTTAGTAAATACTGTCAAACAGCCATCTTTTCTTCAAGACTACACTTTGAGAATCTCACACAATGACTCCTCCAGACACATCCGTCACTCTGTCCTTTTGTCATCTAACAATGTGTTTGCTCAGTTTTATCCTACCGAACATTAAATTAAACAAATTAAACATTAAAATCCTCGAAATCAATTTTCCGCCACTCTGGTCTCCATACGTCGGAGCATGACCTCCCTCTGGAGCCTGTTCTGACATATTATCAATCACCCTCTTCTGGGTCATAGGTTTGTTTTTGCTGACGAGACAGAAACATAATGCCTATACATGCATATACAGGTTTTATTCAAACAACTTTTCAGAAGCATAGGAACATGGGTAACAATGCTCATGTGTAGCTACATCTGAAAAAAACTGTTGCCTCCAGCCACGACAAATGCCTGACACAACAAGTCTGATGACTCAAGCGTTAGGTGGCGGCCTGGCATTTTATTAAAACATAGATAGGCACTTTCACAGCGCATCTGAAACGGGGATTACACAGAGGTAAAACAAAAACAAAAAAAAAAAAAAACGCGACTAATCCGCTAAAAACCTGAGATTTACTGGAAAACTGCAGCTTTTGCCAAACTCTCATCAAAGCATCAAAATAAAACTCTGTTGCTTCACTTTGGCTGGGCAGCGATCAATAAATCACAGCGTGCGCAATAAATAACCGTACTTATAAGTTGGCGCCGACTGGGGGGAAAAAATACTGGTTCACATTCAGAAGCCTGTAACATACAGAGAAAAGGCTGTGGCTTATTTCCAAATGACCATCTGTCTCCCAGAAAGAAAGGCGCGATCTGTGGCCCCCCGAGGGTCTTTTTTTCGGACAGTGTCTGTCTCTTCGGCGGACGGACAAAGAACAGAGACTTCGGCCCTGGTGACGGGGCTTTTGGCCAGAGACGCTCTTGACATTTACTGATGGAAAAAACTGCGGAGGAAGAGCTCCACCGCTGGAATATCAAAGACCTAAAAGCCTCGACACTGATGCTGATCTGTGGTTTAAGAAACACAAAAACATATGAGAATGTGTTTCGTTTGCTTTATTTTTGCGTCACACGGTGTCTTAAGTCGTATCCAGCTCATGGATTGCAACGGCAAACAGAAAGAAGAGAGGGTTTTTTTCAGCCAGGCTGGTGAATGAAACCGCTCCCTGCATCAGTCACATCCTGTCTGATCTGATGCATACCTGCCCACCTGTGCAGGTAAACAATTATTCATCAAAAACCAGTTGTTAACTCCTGATAGTCCGATCCGCTTGGCAGCTGGCAAACGGTCCTACTAAACCTGGTCCAGTTAATGGATTATGTATTAAATGCAACTTACAACCTGCAAATGTAAACAATCAGAACATCAGATTCACACTCTGTAACGTTCAGGGTTCATACACTTTTAACACAGTAAAGTTCAAGGACTTTTCAAGCTTTTTCAAGGTACGTTTTCTAACTTTTCCAGCCCTGCATTATGCATCCTGTACACTATTTTGCCTAAAGCTTTCCTCAACTCCAATCATTACCATGGCAACAGGTGTATAAATCCCAGCAGCTAGGCATGCTGACTGTTCACTGTCAGGAGCTCAGTTTAACTACCTTCAGATGAGATAAAAACAATACCTAGGTTGTTGTTCAGAAGTTGGGATAATCACCCTGGTTCCAGTGAAAGGAATAATAATTATCCTCACACCTGACAGTCTGGTAGATTTAGTTAGATTACATTTTCAGCTGCTTTCAAGCGTCAAACCAACCAGACTAATTGAAAAACCTGTTCTCCTCCTCGCCTGTGGTGGCGCTGTGTCGAGAACTAACGAAGGAAACAACACAGAAACAAAATTATTTGTTAAATATACGATGAAGTTTGATAATTATTTTATGAGTTTGTGTCCTGACTTTGCTGGATCTCTGTGATATATGTTCAAAAAATATCACTTCTTTGATTTTGATGATGCTTCATGTATAACAGAGTGAATGTATAATAAGGTTGTGTTACCTTTACTAAATGGATACTATACAGAAATAGTATCCATTTCTGTACTATTTTCGTCTTGTTTTTGTTGTTGTTTTTTTTTCCTTTATTTTTGGCTTGTGTATGAAAAAGTAAAAAAAAAAAAAAGAAAAAAACTTGGCTGGCGACTTATTGAGAGTTGGGGTGTAACTCAAGTTTGTGAAGGCAAACCAGTGAATATGTTTAGCAATAAAGTGTCTGATATCCCATCCCAGTTTATGAGAAATATTTCTAGGAAACAATTATTGAGAATTATGAGCTTGTTTGTCCTTTGAGAAGCCGTCACTATTACATATTACTCACCAACAAGCTCATTGGGGTCCTTCTTCTCCTCTTCTGATGCCTGTAATAAAAAAACAACAGGGTGGGAGGAAAAGGAGAGAGACATAGCAGCACATTTAGATTTTAATTTAGTCAGAAAATAAATCTAGCCAATAATAAGTACACTCTGTGTTAGGAAATGTGAGAAGCAGAAGAGAGGAAATGATTAATCTATGCGTCAGCTAGAACAGTTAATCTCAGTGCAACAGATTAAGGCTAATTTTCCACCCAACTTAAGATGGTTAAAAAAAAAAAAAAAAGTTTGGCACAGGAACTAAAAGTACAAAAAAAAAAAAAAAACATCCCAGAGCAGTTTCCGGAGAGGTAGATAAGGATTGTAAATGTATTCGGTTTCCAAAGAATGCCTCGGCTCAACCAGAGGAGGAGTGTTGAACAATCTCTAAAATATGCCCGGTGCGGTGCCAGCACCCTGAAGGTAACCCAGGTCCAACGCAACAGTGCTGTTATTCACAGGACATGAAGCGTCGCCTAGCAACCGTGCAGGCACATTAAAGGATTTGCCTTCGCCAGGAGAAAAAGGGAGGAGGACAAAGTTCAGGGGAGCTCTCGGGCGAAACCGACAAACGGAGCGTGTATGCCCGGCAAAGGCAATCAATCGGCACTACGGCTGAGAAACCGGTCACGATTCGTTGATCGCCTCCTTAACGCTCGGCTCTCATTTAGCCGATGTAGAGTCACAGTTAGAGAACTTAAAATAACACACAAAGAAAACATTATAGTCAAATGAATTCACTTTTCACTGCGCATCCATCTGTATTAAATCTAAAACCATTTTCATTTTAGATTTAGCACATAAAAATATCTTTTAACATTCTCATTTTCAAATATGAAAAAAAAAAATACAAAAGTTTAAAGAAGTCGCCTTAAAGTTCAGCCTAAGAAGCAGGTGAACGCATTTTTGTAAGAGGTAGCAGAGAGCTTTAAAGATGGCAGAATACTGACGGTTTGTTCCTGTTGGGTTTTCCATCTCAACAACAAGCTGACTGTTATGTTTTGTTACCCAATGCCAAGTATCTGTAGCAACACTCCTCAGTGAGAGTGTTGTTACCGAAAGAAACTCTGATCAACCGTTTTGAAAAATGAAATCAGAAGAAGAAAAGGAAATTATTATCTACAGAATGCAGAGAAGTGTCTGCTTTTCTTCCAGACAGACAGACAGAGACAAACAGACAGAGAGACAAAGACAGACAGACAGAGAGACAAACAGAGAGACAGACAGACAGACAGACAGAGAGAGAGACTTTTTGCAGATAACAGGAAGGCTAAACGGAGAAAAAAAAAGTTGCTCCGTTTTATCTTTTGAAGCTCTTCGCCACAGCTTCTTAGTGAACATGTTGGACTGGAAACGATTGTGGCTCATTGAAAATCTCAGCATTAAGTTAAAGCTCAACTTACTTTCCAGGGGGGTCACACAGACAGGTGTTTCAGCAATGTTAGCTGCTCTAATTAGTAACACAATGTCACAGGCAAATAACTGAATATTTATTGCATTTTTTGCATAATGTGCAGTTAATACCAAAAGTATTCACACTCCTGGCAGATTTGGGATTACAGCAGGGCTGGATAAAAAAAAGGAGAAAAAAAGAAACCAAGAAATATCTCTTCGATGTATTGTCAAAAAAAATTATATACATTTCTATCATTATTATTATTATTATTGTTTGACACTCCTGCATAATCTTTGAAGAAATGCCCATCTCATTTTCTTCTAGAATCAAAATGTTACTCTTAAAAACAAATCTGAATAAATTAACAGGAAGGCTAAACGTTAAAGCCACTAATGGTCCATTTCTACTCCTATAGCTTTGAAATCAACATTTATATACAAACTTTAACGTGTTGGTAAAAACATCCGTCAAAGTTTGCCTCTGAAACCTAAAGAAATCCTGGAGACGCGGAGCAGTAAAACTCAGCTTTTCCATAAACGTAATTATATTTGAAAGGAATATGGTGGAATGTTTTTTTTGTGCTGGTTTCCCACCTACTCATGAGATATTGCATCACCTCAGCATTCCTCTCTATGCTGCACATGATGCCAATAAAAAACCAGCCACACAGACATGCTGCGTTTCCAGGAGCTCCCACCTTAAAAGAAAATAAGAAACACTCATCTCATGTATAATCTAAATTATTAACAGATAAAATTTCAGAAGATTTTACATTAAACTCATTTTCCACTGACTATGACTCTGATCTCCAACTGGGATTCTTATGAAATGTGACCAAATCGTCTGTAAGCCGCTTCCTGCTGGCAGATAGTATCTTTTGGAGTCACATAATGGCATTTCCTTGCAGTGGACAATGATTTGATAATATTAAACTCTACGTCATTGGTTGTCAAAGCGAGTACCAAACAACCTGAAGGCAGAAATAAATCAAACGATGATCCGTAAGAGATGCCATGCAGCAGACAGCTGCTTTTCGTCAAAACATAACGGAAGGTATGAAGCGACAAAAAATGGCAGATGTAAACTCACCAACATCTGTAATGTGTTTGCATCTTAAAAAAACAAAATACTTTTCTATTGTTTCTGTTGTTAAAAAAAGATATATTAGTTTTAACTTCAACAGACAAATTTACTGATTTTGCTTATCAAATAGACTGAAACATACTTTTAGTGTTTTATTTTGATTTGAAACACTATCCTAAGAAGGTTTAAGACTTTTACAAAAAAAAAAAAAAAAGTAGCACAATTACTTAGTAAAAACTCCCTGTGGCACAATACCAACACTGTTTACTCTGGAGGATAGATATTCCTCCTCTTTCCGAGACCCGCGAGCCTCTATCCTGCCCACAAATGTCCACACCAAATGTAAAACAAATCAATGTCATGAAAAAAAGAAAAGAGAGAAAATGACAACCAAGCAGTAAATTGTGAAACAGAAAAGCAGAAAAGTTTCACAACAGCAAGTTGCAGTGAGCGAACACTTACAGTCATCAGATAATGCGAGCAAGCAGAGCCAACAAGCATCTATTCTTCTCCTGTCAGCTAATGAGCGTTAATAAGCAGCACAAAACATTCGCTTTCTACAGCGAGACAGCAGCATATATCACACCGGATCAGATAAAAACATGTCAACATTAATGCATCGACTTGTCTCCCTCTGAACATGACTTTCTGCTCTCTGTGGAACAATCTCAAGCGTGTCGGCGCACGAGTGCTGAAGAAAAATGTTTTGATTACCATAATGTTTACACTGACAGTGCTGTTATCTGCCTTATTGCACAGAGAATTTAGCAGACGAAGCTGATCAGACTAGAGGCGGGTTATAAAGCGAAGCCTCAGAGGTCGCCACCCTCCTGGTGTTTGCACTCCGACAGCCAAGGCACAAAAATGTGGCGCGACTCAAATCATTTTATGCGCCGCTGAAAGGCTTAAGACAACAAATCAGTTGTTAGTTTAACATCCAGGCACACATGATCCCACAGCACCATCTAGTGAGCAGCATTGACTTCCAAATCTAATCTGCCCCCAACCACAGGTCGTCGTTCAAATACCTCCACATCATCTGCGTCCCTCCCCTCGTCTGATTCGTCCATATCCTATAAAAACAAAAACGCAGAGGGTTAACGGTTGTAGGGCCGGGGAGGTCAGAGGGCAGAAGACCAGGACAGGGGCCAGACAGGCAACACAAAGGACTCCAACACAGTTAAACATTATTCAGCTAATTTTATAAAAAAAATACGGACAGAGTGAAATTGTTTGAAGGAGATTAAAGATTCATCAGCAGATGTGACATTAGGACTGTTAGTCGCTTTTACGCCTGCAACTAATGATCGCTTTAGTGATAAATTAATTTAGTATTGCATTTAACATTTTTTTTATATGTCAGATGCATTGTTATTCTGATGATTAAGATTAATCAAATGTTCTGACAATTAATCAGGTTTTTTTTTTAACTTGGCACATTCTCCACATTTCCCTTTTTTTTTTATATATATTTAAGTCATTTTCACACAAAAAAGAAAATAGGAAAATGAAAATTGAACACTTTTTTTGTGTTAAATGGAAAATGCATACAAGGTTTCCCCCAGAAAACTTGTAAAGCCCAGTGGTCGGAGCACTAGAGCAGTCATTCATCCAGCAGTCCGCCGTGTTTTTGTCCAGTTAACGATTAATAGATTACTAAATTAGTTGACGATTATTTCAGCAATAAATTAATCACGATTAATCGTTTCAGCTCTTCTCTCTTTAACTGCTGAATGATGTGGATAGTAAAATTGGCAGAAATACAATTTAAAAGAAGTCCAGGAACATGACACTAGCTAATAAACTGTACAAAGTTCAAAGCTCTAAGAAAAACAATACAGTTGTTTTTGTGAACATGATCAACTGGAACCACACTAAGCTGTAACAAATTATCAATAAGTCATAGCAAATCTAAAAAGGAGACGTGCTAGAGTTAGCCTAGCCTTTTAGTTAACTTCAACAGCAACAGCAAGATGCAAACTTACTGAAGGCTTTACCTGGGAGTTAAACTTCTCTTTAGAAACTATGTAGCTTTGCCCATTTAGAGTAACATGTTCTCAAAAGAGAGCCAGTTTGGGATTTGCTTTATTTGGACATGGTTGGCAAATACCTATTCTGAAATGACTCAGGTCGCAAATAAAAAAAATTAAATATTGAAAGATTCCAAGAGAAATGCAGCTACTCCAACAAAACACAGCTCATACCAACTACTGATATAGACCAAAATGTAAAGACGGTCTGAAAAGTCTCTAAAATATATTCCCTGCTTCAGGTTTGAGACAAAAAAAATCATATAGGAGGAGAAATTATTTTTTTTTTTGTATAAACTTTCTTAAAAGGTAATTAACTATACATAATTTAAAACAATACTGATATGAACCAAAAAGTGTATGCGCTGCTCTGTCCTGATTGGTTTATTTTACAAAGGCTTTACAATAATAAAAAAAAAACTTTATTTGTGTCATGGCAAGATGAACTACAACATTTTTTTCAACCTATTAAAGTACAATCTGTTACTCTGGTGAACAAACATGGAAAACGCACGCACGCACGCACACACACACACACACACACACACGCACACACGCGCGCACACACACACACACGCACATTGCCTCTGTTTATTGACAACAGAGGCTGCAATGTGATCAGTTTATGTGGAGGTTATAAAATCTACTGAAGTATAAAATTATGTTACACAAAATAGATTAAAAACAATAAAAGGTACAAACATATTTTTTTAACAATCTGGCTTCACAATAAAACTGCTGCCTTGTGTTATTAAAACTTCCACCTGATTAATTTAATCATTATTATAAAAGCTACGCAAGATATTGTTTTCTTATTACCAATGATTCCAACATGGTCTGCAACCAAATAAAACAAAACAAAACAAAAAAACAACATAAAGCCTTAATGCTTTATGCCTTAATGCCGTGCTTATCCAAAAGATAAGCACGGCAAGCCAGGCTTTGTGTTTCTATAAGAGCCTGTAAATGCCCAAAATTAGATCAACTCACATGGCACAAATAAAGTAAAAAATGCTATAAATGCATCAGCCAAGATCGTCTGCTTTTGATTAACCTTGTATGAGTTTAAGAAAAATCCGATAAAGTTTATTAGGAAAACACCCTTTGATGCAAAAAGAGCAAAAATGTAAATGTATTTTCTTCATTTTCTGTTTGATTCAAAACTACTCAATCAATAAAGATGAACCTGTTTTTTCTTTTTTTAGCTCTTTAATGTGTCACAGCTGAAACTGGACTCAACAGGTCAGATCTGAAAACGAACCCAAACTGCTGGTCGTCCTTGTAGGACTGAGCATCTCCTTTTATATCAGCAGGTCACGTTTTTCTTTAGTTTTTATCATTTCAGTGAAACAGCAGTACGTTTGCTGAGCATTACTGGATCTTTATTTTATTTTTTCTTTAACTTGGGACAGATTTTAACGGCAGCCAAATTCAGCCTGTAAGGACGAGTTCAGAGCTCCGACACTGACCGAGTTGCTGTCGCGGCTATCCTCGTTTCCAGATCCTTTATCTTCAACATCCTCCGTCCGGTTCAGGTCGTCGTCCCCGTAGCCGTAGACCAGGCCCCCTACGTGCCCCCCTGTACACAAACACACAGAAAAAAAGCAGAGGTCTGACACCGCCTTAGGGAAGTTACAAACAGGCTCCGGCTGCCGTTTTGTTCAAGTTGATAAATCCCCAGCTTCCCCCTTTTAAAAACTTTTTTTTTTTTTTTTGCTGTCATGGCTTGGAGTTAGTAAATTAACACAGAAACTAATAATTTGTTTATTTGGTTAAGCACCATTAGGGACGCAGCCGGGATAGGGCATCGAATTTTTCAATCCGTCAAAACCAAATTTGATTTATCTGTGAGTGACTCACGTTATTTAAATCAAACTAATACACCAGAGGTCGACCCAACAGGGCGACTGCATCAGCAGAAGTGGATTGCCTGACGTTTGAAATACCAAAATATCACATTCACACAAGTCTTTTGTGATTGCAACATAGCACACATTGATACTGCAACAGTAACTGGATACATGGTGCAGCTATCTCTGTTGAGCCGACTCAACATGCGATGCCCTACTTTTTTTTAACCGAAAGGACACGAATGATAAAAGTAGAAATGGTGGGAAAAGTGGAGTTTATGCACTACATTTAGACCCTCAAAACACACGATTTTTAAACATTTTTTTTTTAATGTGTTGCTTTAAAAATGACCACAAATGCATTTTAAAATACAACTTTTCAATGGGATAAACATCTGTACGTTTACAATGTTCTGCTTTATGGACGTTCGGTGATTTTTTTTTTGTATTTTTTTTTTTGGTGATACAAGTACAAATTCAGAGTTTGTCTTGTTTTGATTGATCGATTCTTAGATTAATACTAGGTTTTTAGATAATTTAATTCCTACTAATAAAGTTTTACTTCCTTCGCGAGTCTTTTATAGCTACGTTTGATGGACATACTGAAAAAACATTAATTGCTCTCAACTCTTTTTTTTACTGTAGAATAATCCTGTCCAGGTTTAATCTATCTATATGGTGTTGTTTTAAAGTTGGATCCCTTCTGATGTGATGGAATTTTTTAAAGCTTTAAAACTGTCCTAGTTTGAGTTTCACAAATTAAATAACGGCTTCACATTTAGTGTTTCATAGAGTATGTAACTGGTGTAACAAAGTTTAGGCATATTTTTTTTTCCATTCCTTCTAATTCAGACATTTATTTAACACAAATAAACATCCAAACAAATCATCACATAAACTTGAGCACATGATATAAAATACATAACCTGGAACAATGTACTGAAAAACTAAAATACACGGATAATTTATCTGCAAAACTACAATTTAACTACAATAATATCAGATTTGACATAAACTAAGGTTTCTAAACAACTAAAAGCAACAAAACGTATAAAGTAGATTAAGCTAGCTGCTAGCTCACACTCATGGTAGACTCATAGACAATATTAACAAATGAATATTGTGTTTTACTGTGATTAAAGCTAAGGTAATAATTTAAAAAAATAAAATTCACCTGAATCTTCTGGTTCTGGGTCAGAGTCGGGCTCCGAATCGTCTCCATAATCTGCTAAAGATGAGAGCAGAACGCTTTTTTTGCCACTCGCCATAACTGTTTCAGTCGCATAAATGCAGCGGGGCTGTGAGCGCACAGTAAACACGTCACCGGACGAGAAACTTCAGCTGCGCAGTGAAGTAATGCGCAGAAAACCCCCACCGACACTGGGAAATGTAGTTCTTTGTCGTCTTTTGCTACGTCGGCGTCGCGCTGTGTAAACTATAGAATATTTATGTATTTATGTTACTATTTACAGAAAATGTATAATATTGAAATATGTAACACAAATTATGCGTACATATCTGTATTAACATTAATTTTAAGGTTTAGCATCCAAGCTACATAGTAACAATGCAATAATATTAGAACATAAAGCAGTGTTAGCTAAGATTTTGACTTCTAAAAGCAAACGACAAATTTATGAATCATAAAACATCTTTATTATAATTGCTCTTAAAATACAGTGCCTTGGAAAACAAGTCTTAAGCCTTGATTTATTTTTCATTAGGCCACATACAGTTATAAACTTGAATATACTTTAATAAGACTGATTGTGATAGATTAACACAAAGCATCATGTGTTTGAAGTCATCCTGCTACAAGGTGAATATCCATGATAGCTCTGTGTTTAACTACCTTTTTACACTTCCCAGTCCCAGGTGAGGGGAAGCATCACCACAGCATGATGCTGTCCCCACCATGTTTCACAGTTAGGATGGTGTTTTTAAGGTAACTTGCAAAATCCATTTGGAAAGATTCAGGGAACTTGCTTTTGATGATCTCACCATGTTTGTAATAAGATCAGTGAAAATAAAAAACTATATTTTAGGTACATATGTTGAACTTATATTTGACAGACTGTTTAAACATTGTGACTCCGACTTAAAATGCAAGTTTTCTAACATGTACAAAAATGCCTCAACAGTGGGAAAAGTGACACCAAAATCTGTTTTAAGTGCATTTAAATATGTACATGAGTCTAAATCACTGCATTCTCTGAGTTCTTCCTCAGTTTCCTCTTCTTTTGCTTTGGTGATTTTGAGCTTCTGCAGCATCCGTACAGGAGAGCAAAGAGCAGCAGAGACAGAATTCCCAGTACGAACAACCCGATGACCACAAAGCCGCCCACCATCCATGGGTCCAGCTGCAAATGATGCAGGAACCAGTCCACCAGCTCGTTGGGGGAGCCAGTGGGCTTCTGGTTCTCAGCCAGACTGCAGGGGAGACGAATAAACCACATAAGAAATCAGAGTGAGAGATAGTCAGCTTAACAGTTTTATTGGGATTTTATTTGCTACTCCAGCGCACACGAGGTGCCCTTCCCTCTGATACCCCTAAATGAAATCCACTTTGAGTAATTGTCAGAAGTCGCCCAATTTTAGTAACTGCTAGCCTGCTAAAATGTTACATATTCATGTGTTAGAATGGTCCAGTCAAAGTAATCCACCTAAGAATCTGTTGCTTGATTTGGACATCGATGTTCGCAGATACTATTCATCCAGTCTGAGATTAAGCTGTTTAATCTCAGACTAGATATTGAACAGTTTGACCATTCACAGTAAAACATTTGAGCCACATTTAGTTGTGTCTACTATCTTCTTTAAGTCAAATTGAGCGAGTTTTAGATTTTTGAACCTAAATGTGTGAGTTTTAAACTTACAGCATTAAGTTGTGTTAACTTTTTATTAACTTTGTCAAACCTCTAAAAGTTGAATAAACTAGAGTTGTTAGGTTAGCACTTAAAAATACAGAAAGACGAAAAAGACAGGAGTGAGAACTATTTCCCAGAATGCTTAGCGGTATGTTTTTGCATCCTGTTGCACTGTGATTGAGATGGAAGCTCGTTACGTTGATTTCACTCTGGAGCGTTATTAAGAGAAATGTATTTTCAAAACTTAACAGTAATGTCCTGTTCACACTAAATATTTTTGAGCAGCATTCATTATCAGATCATAGTTTTTCTTTATGCAGTTTGCAACAAGAATTTAAATTGTTCTAAAGTAAAATAAATAATTATAACTTGATAACGTGAGTGAAAATAACAGAGAAATTTGTGTTCTTTCACCAGGTGAGGGCAGTTTTTTTCTTGCATGTTGTGAAATAATTATTTGATTTAAATTGCTGCATTAAGGGTAAAAATCAATATTCAAGATGAATGAACTTAAAACACAATGTTTAGACAACTAATCTCTTCTTGTTAAATCAACTTCATGAACTTTAATCTCTGAGTTAAAACTAAAACAATTTCCTTGTTGACTTAAGTTGCATTTTCAAGGCAGCAGGTGAACTTTCACTTTCAAGTTAAACCACCTTCAAATATTTTACAGTGTTGTTGAATGATCATACTGATAAGGACATGCCCCAAAAGACTGGCATGTTGCCATTGCATCGAAAGCAAATTCTTCTTATTACAATTCATTATTATATATTAATTCATGTTGATCTATCACATAAAATCCCTACAAGCTACATTGACATTTGTGACTGTAATGTGACAAAGAGTGAAAAACTTCATGGGATGTCAATACATTTCCATGTATTTAATATGTTGCTTCTACCTAAAGGGTTCATAATCATATATTGTAAGGCTAGGAAGATGTTTCTAGAATAGATAATACAAATATTCATGTTAAAATCACCATAACTCACCACCTTCCTCTTTTAAACTCACCTCACGGTCGCCATTTCCTGTTTAAAGGATCCAGTTACGGCTCAGTTGCTCCCAACAAACTGTACATACAGGAGAATAACTCTTCTTCTGGGCCACACAAAGCAGCTAAACCTTTCACACAAACTCTAACGTACCAATCCGCTTTGACTTTGATTTTGATGAGGCATTCTGTAGATCCAAACTGCTCCTGCTCTGCTTTGGGGACAGGATAATTTTCTGTCTAATGTGGGTACGACGTAGCAGAAACAACTGCTTCTGGGTAATGTTTAAACAAAACAGGAATGTCATGATAAGGTACGCACGCAGCAGTCGGACAGCCCTTCTCTGATAGCAACACGGTCGTTCTGTTACGTGTTAAAATTAGAACACATGACATTCAGTTGCTCTAATATTATCATCATTTAAAAAGTTATTTTTACATGCTGTTATATGACAAATCAAGAGTTTACATTGTTGAAACATACACATTTATTGCAATTACTTATAGGAGAATCGCCACATGTGACAGCATCTTTGTTTTACCTCTATCTATACAAAAATGTGGTAGGTTAAACAATAAACGGCTCAGGTTTTCCTTTTTTTGTGGCACAATTTGTACAAAAAAATAAAAACACCCTTAAAAAGCCAGCAGAGGGCGCTCCGTCTTTTTTAGTTTTTATACAAAAATTGGCTCCCTTTGACATTAACTTGCAATTTATGCTAAAATGCAATCTTTTTATATTTCTCACAGTCACAGCACAATGAATGAATGTCGACTGGGCACCAAAGAACTGCACTTGTACCACATCAGTATCTGTTTAACTGAAGCACAAAGAAGCTTTTATTGAGTCTTTTCATGCCCAAAACACTGCCACACAGTGCTTTATTGTCCCGCTCTGTAATGCTTTTTCATGAGGCTTGCCACTCTGCGGCTCTGTGTGGATTCCGACGTCTCCCAGTCCCAGGATGCTGATGCAGTTTGTTGCTCAGAACTGGAAACGTCCCAACACTAAGTCCCATCGTTCCTCTGGTTCGTCCCCATTTTAAAGCCCACTTGATCGGTCCAAGCAAACCAGTGACACTTAAAAGATTTATCCCCCTCTTCTGTAACCTTGATTCAAGAGCTTCCGTCATGGTGGTGGTGTAACAGACCAAAAGGGTACAGGGTGTGATGGGCTTTGGATTCTGCAGACAAGTCCCGCTTTCTTTCACCAGATCAGACGGATTCCAAAGGCTGAACTCTCGAGCCCTGGTATTTTGGTTTGCCGCAGCAGCAGCAGTGAAAGCAGGAGAGCAGCATCAAGAAAAGGACTGTGACTGCAATGACAAACAGGAGGCAGAGAGCACAAATCAGGCCAGCACAAGTCATTGGAGAAACTCACATAAAAAGCTGTCGGCATGTGTGTTTTATGCAAAGATTGGTTAGGATGCGCATCAATCAGGTTTATTTGTGTAGCACATTTCAGGAATGGTGGAGTTCAAAGTGCTTGACGTCATGAAAACATAAAAACATCATGTAGCCAACAATCGTGACAACCAGTAACAAGACATTTTATTTTGTCAAGTGCCAAATCATCAATGTACATTAAAATATTTTGGTCAATGCTCCATCTATTATGGTTCAAAAGCATTTCTAAACATGTGGGAGGTTTAGTCTTTAATCCTGGATATGTTCTTCAGGTGGTAGAAGGCTGAATTTGTAACTGTCTCTATGTGGCTCTGAAGATTCAGGTGAGAGTCCATAACTACCCCCAATTTTCTGGTCTGGTCATTAGTTCCTAGCTGTAATAATTGAAGCACTGTGTTGACTCTAGATTATTCCTCTTTAGATCCAAACACTATAGCTTCAGTTTTGTGGAAAACCCAGACCAATGTGGTAAAGGAATTGCCTCTAAACCTAACACCTGGATAGTTACATTAATCAAAATGTTGTGCTAAGAAGTATAATCTGTCGCACAGATGACAGACGTAACTTACCAATAAAGAGTACGAGGATGGAAAAGGCTCCACTTTCCAGTGGGGTTGCTTGTGGAAGACTCAGAAGTTTGGACCACACTCGTTGCAGGATGCCTGCAAACTCCTGTTTGGCATCCATGATAGTCTCTGGATCCAGGCGATGTCAGTCAAAACAGAAATAGCTTGGCTTGGGGGGTTCAAAGAAGACGGCCTCTGTAGAAAGTTTAACTCCTTAAAAAAGAAGACAGGATGACATTGAGGATGAATGTTTCACTGAGGATACACCCTGGAATTACCAATCCTGCTTTGGAAGATCATGGGCCCCAGATCTCTAAATACCTCGAGTTCCCTCTCATTATGTACAACCCCCCTCTGCTAACTCACTTCCTTTACGAGTGGGAGTAGCCTCACAAGATCCACATGTTCACACAGCAACTTATGCCCTCACTTACTACGTGTACAGCAGAATCTGGATGTTCAGTCCAGCTATAAACAGACCTAACT